AATGGGTATATTGTATTTGTGCAAAATCCAAATGCATGTAACAGGCAGACTGAAGCATCTCCGAGCCCATAAAGTATATATATATTCTCGATCAGCATTAATAGCCGAGTCGATCTAGCCATGTCCGTCTGTCTGCCTGTCCGTATGTATGAACGCAAGGATCTCAGAACTTATAAGAGCTAGGGACATCGATAACTTACTCCGTTTCCAAGCAATCGATAAAAATCGATATCGATATCCTATTTATTTTTTGGCAATTTTGGTAAATAATAAGAGCTAGAGTCGCCAAACTTGACATATAGCTTCTAAAATAGAATATATATATATATATATATGCATTTGATGTTGGAAGAAGAGGGTTCAGGGTATCTGATAGTCGTGAGCTCCCGACAAGCACCTCTTACTTATTTCTTCTTCTTTTTGTATAGCGTACAAAACGGCAATGACAACAACAACATAATTATGAACAGCAAAGCAACTAAAATAATAATATATAATAAACAGCAACAGCAACAACAACAACAACAGCAGCGACGACAACATTATCGTCACCTAGAGACAATATAATTGTAAATTTAATTTATGCACGCACCTAAATAACAACAAGTCTCAGCATATTTGTATTAAACGCCGTTTTCAGGCTAAACATTTATAGCTAGTTTTCAAGCTGAATTCTTACTTTAGCATTAACTCTTTACACAGGCAGCTCACCAATACCAAAGCGCACACACACACACATGCATGCGCAGCGACAGCCTAACTGTAGGCATTTTAGCTATTTCGTGCTTGTTGTTGTTATTCTTCTCATTTTTTTTTTTTTTTTGGTTTTTTTGTTTTTGCGCTCATCTGGGCACACGCTATTACACGCATATTATTGTTGGGCGCGCTCGAGCAGAGCAAAGCGCTATTTCACACAAAATCAAAAAATTAAATTCGAAATTCATTTCCGTGCCAATGGCAATGCGCGCGCATTATGTTTATTATTATAATAATTTGCTAATGCCGTTGTTGTTGTTGTTGTTGTTGCTGTTGCTCTTTAATGGCCAAGTGCATTGCAATTGCCGTATCTGCTTTTGTTTATGGGCAAATGTTTTTGCCAGGCACACACATATTTTATAATGGCCAAATGTATTTGCTACACACACACACACACGCAGAGCTGCTGTGTTATATGGTTTATAAAAATTGAAGAATTTTGAATTTGCATTTTGATGCGATACGCAACGTACCGTTCCGGCTCACACAAATGCAGCGCGGCGGGCATCCAATACCACATCTCTCTCTCTCGCTCTCTCTCTCTCTCTCTCTTGATCGTTAGCAATGCGGGTGCGGGTGCGGGTGCGGGTGCCAGACCAGACCAAGACTATACGATCTATTTACTGTACATCGATATGTATGTATGCATGTGTGTGTGTGTGTGCTTGTAGTTGTATTCGTAGTGTTGTCCCACACTGTTTGCGATTTAGTTGGAAACGCGTTTCACGCACTGCGATGCGCCGCCTGCAACTGACGGACGGGCGCTTCGCGTTTTGGCCAGTTGCAACTTTGTTGTCGCTTGTTTTTTTTTTTTTTTCAATTTTTTTTTATTTTGTTTGTTTTTTGTTTTTTTTTGGGGTTTCGTTTGCCATTTGGTTTGCTTACAAATTTTAATGCGAAAATGGCAAATTTATGAAAAGTCGCATGGCCAAAACCGTTTTGCTCACTCGCTTGTCAATTTGATTGCCGCCGTTGCCGCCGCTTTGAACATTGATTATGCTAGGTGTTTGGCACTGATGTTTTTCGTATACCCTACACTCAGTTGCCTATGGGTATATCGCCTTGCACTCACACTCAATTATAATCTTAACTTATGTCTATCGAAGAATCTCTCGAAGAGAGATCTCGTCTGGCTTGGGCTAAACAAATTGATAATCGTTCGATATATATCGATATATATCGATACTAGCAATCGATTTGTGAGCATAAATCGCCATTTGGAGCAACAAGAAACATCGAATTGTTAATTTTTCGCATAAAATTCAATGCTTTCTATAAACTAAACGATTTTTAGCTTCGAAGCTGGGACATATTTTATGAAACAGTTGTGATACTGTTGCCGCTAATTGCACAGGGTATCTGCTAGTTGGTCACTTTGTTAGCTTGTTTTGTTTTGTTTCTTGCTAAATTTGTAAATCCTAAGTGAACAAATCTGAGCGCTCATTCAGTTTTAGACAATTAATTGAACACCAGTTGCAATTCGCGTCTCGCGTTGCGCTCTACATGTGTGTGCGTGTGTGTGTGTGTGTGTGTGTGTATGCGTACGTGTGCGAAGGTTTATTTAACATGGCGTATACCCTGTAAGGGTTAACTTGATCTATGCGACTCCTAACAGATTGCTGTTGCCTTTCGGCTCTCCGACTTGACATGGAATAAGGACTCGACGCTGGACGTCGCAACACCACGTCGAGCATGCCCGGCCACGCAGCCAAACAGGGTGTACCCCCATCCCGACAAACGGTGGCTAGCCACGGCATTGGTACTGATCGACCCAGTTTTGAGCAGGGCATGGGAATGGGAATGTGCCTGCGCACTGTTACTCACCGACGCCGCCTTTCCACATCCATGCTAAACGTCCTGTCGTCTTCGGCTGCGTCCTTTTGCCAACTTCAGCATGCAATTGGGTTATGTATAACGCTCTGCCGCTCTGCTGACCGTCCGTTAACAGCGCTGTGGATATATTCATGCGATATGCATTAGTATATGTTTGTTGGCAAACCAAAGACGCAGACGCAATACTCTGTTCACAGTGCGAAAGGAGCTGAACGCACTTGCAATGGGCTGGCTGTGAGGCAAAAGGCAGTGCATTTAAAACTGTTTGCAATTTGTCGCAGCACAGCGATAAACTTGCTGTCCAAAAGTTAGTGTGGCTCCTTTGTGACACGACACGAGCAGGGGAATCTATATCATTTTTCTCACACTCAAAACCATTTGACGAACTAGAAATAACATTTGCAGCGCCTCAAACAAAATGTGCTCACTGCGATTGTTTAGCACAAATCAATATACACTTTTGCAGCACTTGTGAACAGGGTATGCGCTTAGTCAAGGCCTGGCTTACCTGCTGCTGTGCGCCTCCAAAAAGCAGCTTGAGTCGATGTTTCTTTTTTTTTCTTGGCGCTGCAAAATAACAAATTTATACAAATTGTTGATGTCTTAAATGATGTTTAGCTTACCTGAATTATTATTAATATTAATAATATAACTACTGTTGTTGTTGTTGTTGTTGGTGTTGTTGGTGGCGGTGGCAGGCGATGAGGTCAGAGGCGTGCCAGAACCACTTGAGGATTCAAATGGCCTGTGAAAAGCGTTAGATAAATGCCAAAGCGACAGCAGGCCGTCAACGTGGGTCGCCGACGCCACATACGGGCGAGCGGGCGGACGGGGGGACGGGCGGTACGGGCAGCGGACCTGCAGACGTGCAGGCAGCGCACACTTTTATGTCTTGTTTGGGAAAGAGTATAGCAAATGTCCAGTTATATGTTGGGCTCTTTAAGCTGCCACCAAATTTCTAGTTACTTGCACGAATTCGATTTTTTTTATTTTCGTACTGTTCTTTTGTTGTTGTTATTTGTGTGTATTTAATGTTTCGCTATGACTTTTTGGCAGCAAGTTTTGGCGAAACAAGATGCGACGACAGCAGCAGCAACAGCAACAGCAGCAGCAGCAGCAAATGTCGTTGTGTTTGTAAACATGCAATGTGTGGCACATCGATTGCTGTGTGTGCGCTGCGCGCATGCAACAGTCGCAAATTGTTGGGTGTTTATTTTATTTTATTTTTTTCGTTACTTTTGTTTGCTTTAGCTGAACGTGGCCGAACACTTGGTTAAACGATTTTTTGTTTTGAGGATTTTTACAGGAGACACAGAGCCCAAATCCAAATGGCAGCGTCACAGCAAATTGTTCACCTATTTACGATCACACTAAATTTTGCCCCCAAAAAAATATACCAAATGAGCATTTGGTTGCCACAAACGGTCACATGCATATTTTTTATTTATTTTTTTTTTGGTATTTTACTCTTTATAATTATAAGTATGTGATCGTGTGGTATTTTTGTTGCTGTTGAAATAACTTGCTTTGGTTTCTAGTGCACTACATTTTTTTTTTAATTAAGCTAAATTAATATACAGAAATTTTGTGTCAACTTAATTGTATGCATTTGATCAGAATAAACATTGCCAAAATAGATATCGCACAGTGTAATCGAATAAGAAATCGATAATTGAGAAAACAGCCCTTCAGATGGCTGCAATGCCGATATTTTTTCAACAATATGGTCACCTTTGGATTTTGCTGGTTTGGAAATTTGGTCACACTGCCACATTGATCGACAACTCAAACATTATTCAAACAGATTGGCGCCAAATATATACGTTTTATACAATTTTAAACTGGTTCTATGGATAATTTACTGAATGCAGCCGCTAAGCTAATCATTGCTGTGTTTCAATGTGCATACAGAGAACAGAGAACATGTGTATATTCAACATTTAAAAGATGCAAAATTCCTAAATTGTGACGTCAGCGAAACGCCAGTATATTAACTGATGTAATCTTCTAGCCAACACGTATATGTGCATGTGTGGGTTTGTGTGCTTTGCTCGGTAAGCATTCGGCTTTTGTCGGCAAGAAAACCTGATTCGGCTCGTGTGTGTGTGTGTGTGTCTGAGTGGGAGGGTGGAGGAAAGGCAGCAGGTTAATGGGAGTCACACACACACACACACACACACGCGCGCGCGCAGATAGGTGCATATGCCAGCAAAGGGCTATCCAGGCGATCGGCACTTGTGTGAGTGCAGAGCGTAAACGAATAGATAGATAGAGAGAGAGAGCGAGAGGGAGAGAGTGAGTGCAGTATTTGTTTGGTATTTAATGCTAGAAAACGACAAAAACAAGCAATTACTGTGCTGTGTGTAAGCATATGCTCAGTTAACCGTTATACGGCAGGCAGCAGCGACGGCAGTGGCAGCAGCAACAATCAGAGCCAGCGTCAGAGTCAGTGTCAGTTGTGTCAGTCAGTCGTTAAACGCGTCTCGCTAGCCGTGGACATAGAATTTGCAGTGCGACTTTCAGTTTTGCATGCACACATCGAATATCAAATACATAGATCCGCTTTTGTTAACTAGCTGTACATGTGCGTGCGTGTGTGTGTGTGTAGTGTATATGTTTTAAATTTAAAACGAAACGCGCGCGCAGTTCCCACATAAATAGTACATATAAATATATACATATATATATATATACAAATAAAAACAAGTATATATGTACATATATATGTGACTATAAGCAGCATATGTAGACTAGATCTATGCATATTTTTTGTCTTGTTCTTTTTTTTTTTTTATTTGTGACAATCGCGACGACAAGATCGTTTGTGAGAAATCTATAAAAGTGTATTTCAATTTTTTTTTTTCGATTTTTTTTTTCCTATATATAAAATAGTTGTGAGTCCTATTTAGAAAAAAAAAAAGAAGAAGAAGAAAAACCTAGTACAAATAATAACAACAATACACATCAAGAACAAAATGGTCGAGACCGTGGTCACCGTCGAGCGCACAACAACAACTACGGGCCCACCTGGCGGCAATCCGTCCGCCGGCGATAATGGCGGCTTCTGGAGCGCGATACGGATCAATATGGACTATTACAGAACGGCGCCGGGCATTATAAAGATTGTCCAGTTCGTAAGTAACAACAACAGATGGCCGAGCGAGAGTTCGCTTGGAAACAGTCTGAAATTATGATATGGCAACACCGTACATCCCTCCCCCTGCCCTACCCTGCCGCCGTCTGCCCGTTAGAGCTTATCAGGCATATTGTCTAAATGATATGCTGTGTAAATTGAACTTTTATCTATAGATTTCTCAACGCCTTTTGTCAATTAATGCACAATTCATGCCACCTGGTCGCCATCATGTTTGATACCCTGTAAATGTGAAGAGTCCATTACAAATCGGGTATGATAACGTTACAAGAGCGAAAAACAAGTTTATTGCACTTTATCGATGAGTTTCTTCGCTTATGCAAAATCAATAAATATCGTGGATAGTTTCCTATCTATCCAAAATCGAGAGGTATTGATCTTAAGATTCAGTTTTTCTGGAAAATTGGAAGAGCTAACGATTAAAAATAAAAAAAAAAAACAACAAAATAATAATTGAATCACTTGAAATTCATTTGTGTGTATATACAGGGTATATGCCGAGTCGGGCATACATTTCTCTTCCTATAACAGCTATCTATCTAATAACATGTGTGTGTGTGTGTGTGTGTGTGTGTGTGTGTGTCAGGATCTCATTAGACGGATAAGATAGGCCCCGCCAAAGGGCCTAACGTGGCCATGTGAGCAACAATTTGATGTCGATCGACTTTTGCGGCCAGAAATCGATGGTTTATACAATATGCGATATATCAGATAATGTTTGTTAGCTCAAAATTCAATTTTTGGCCGCTGAATTAACAATTTTTCAATGAAAAACTGAACAAAATTCGAACAGCTGTTCGATTTCACAGCAAATAATTGTGCATATGTATAGGTGTATAGGTGTGTGTGTGTGTGTGTGTGTGTGTGTGTGTGTGTGTGTGTGTGTGTGTAGGCGCGTGGGAAGCCGCCAGCAGTTAGCCATGCAAATGGCCACAGCCCACAACAACCACAACAATACCATCAATGCCCAACTCTATATAAGTCTATCGTAATGTAATAAATATATTACATTACACTGCACAAAATTTTGATATCAATTGAAACCCTGTGAAAATTTTCTAGAATTAAGACCGTTTATTAAATAGCCTTTAAAAAATACAAACAGCTGTGCCTTCTATTTTGAGCCAGATGTGTTATTTTTTTGTTTTGCTTTAAGACTTTATTTCAATTAAAAAAAAAATTTTTTTAAAAAAAACTTTGACCTAAGCTGAATTCTTCCGGTCAGCGAACCGGAAACCGAGCGTTTGCCGGGCGAGCTTCTAGACACGAGTACCAAGTCCGTGCAGAGCCCCGATTATAAAGAAAAACCCAACTTATTACAATCAAAATGGAGAAGTGCATTGAAATTGTGGCTGACGATTTAAACTGTGAAATTGAATTGAACACCAAAACAGGGTTTCAATTTATGGTCATAAAAAAAAAAAAGAAATTGAGTTCGTTGTTTTTCGCTGTGTGCATGTCGCCCCCGCCCACAGGTGGCCGCCAACACGCAACAACAAACACAGCAGCAACCACAACAACAACAACAACAACAACAACATTTGTCACACACATGCGAACAGCCATGGAGAAAGCTGCGCTGGGCAAAGATCAGGCACAGATTGTGTTTCTGTCAAGCCCAACTGCTAATGCCACACATACACACACACACGCACACACACAAGCACACACGCATGTGTGTGTGTGTAAGGACACAGCACATTAATAATGCAAACGACATATGCATGCCCATTATTGGCCACAAATTGTGGCCAAAAAATCAATAAAACTTCATTTGGAGACAAACAAATTATATAATTATAGGTAACCCTTTATTTGCTTGTTAATTGCGCATGCCCTCTCTATGCGCTTCTCAAAAATCAAAACCTGTCACAACTGTACTTGGTTTTATTTGTCGTTGATTTGTGTTGAAGCCATTTAAATGCATGCGTTGAAAACGAGCCAAACAGACTGCGTCTTCAGCATTAAATGCATATTTTTTGTTCAACGTTAATCTTATCTACCTCATTCTGTTTTTTTTTTTTTTTTTCGACAACTGATAGTCATACTTAAAGAAAAAAAGACTCGAGTACACAAAAAAGTTAAGTTGAAAATGGCCATAAATATAAGCTAGTAAAACCTTTTTGGTAAAATAACATTAACGCCTAAGTAAAAGTTTAAATTTAAGCATTTGTATTCGAGTAATCGACATATTTTGAATAATAATACACAATTTACACATTGTGTTCATAATTGATGGGATTTTTTTTTAAAGTTATTTTTCAATAAAAAAGAAAAGCAATAAAAAGTCTAGTTCCAAGCTTAATCTGATAAATCTGATTCTCCATGCTGAGAATATGAGTTTATGTCTGAATGGAAGAATTTACTTGGACATCTATTCAAGAAAGTTAAGAACTGGAACCTTGGGTTAAAATATTGACTGGTTCGGTTCATGGTTCTAACTTGTTTTCTCAACCTGGCCATGAAACCAGGCTTCCATTATAGCTATAGTATACTAGAGTAGGGTATATTTTACTCTGATAATATTCAAAAAATAATCAAACTGTTCGTTATCCAGTTCCATTTACAATTCGAATCCCGGACTCGAACCGGTTTGTTTTAAAAGCTTCAAACAGCCTTGATTATTAAAACAATAATCTTGTTATTGTGATGGGAATGTCTATTAGGTTAGCTAAGCTAATCGAGTTGATAGCGCTCCAGATTACAATTAGCTTATAATCCTGGCCGGGCGTAGCAGTTGGTCACATGATTCATAGCGACACGTCGCATTACTCATACGCCCCGATACCGGATCGATAATGGACGTTGTAGTAATGCTTGACAAGGCCCTGGCCAGATAAGGCCAAACTGTCGGCCTTTTTACCACCTGGTCTAGGCCAAGTGTTCGTCCTTATACATGCATACATTTAATGGCATTACTCATACGATCCGTGGTCGAGCGGTACTTTTTGTTTTTTTTTTTTTTTTTTTGGTTCTAGTCTATTTTTGTGAATCTTATCGACCATCAAACAAATAAACTGGCTGACAAACAAAACGATAGCCTACCAAGACGCACCAGCTGGTCGTCGTATCAACGGACTATGGCTATAGAGCGCTATTTAGCGATAAGATTGCAATATGCCTTCCAGTTCCAGCGCCAGTTTCACTCACTTTTCCACTAAACTAACGGACCATGGCTATAGAGCAATATGCCTTTCAGGACTCAGTTCCAGCTCCAGTTCCAATCACTTTTCTTTATAGAGCGATTGCAATAAGCTTTCCAGCTCCAGTTCCAGTTTCAACTCCAGTCACTTTTCCACTAAACTAACGGACTATGGCTATAGAGTAATATGCGATACAGTTCCAGTTTCAGTTCCATTTCCAGCTCCAGCTAAAGTCACTTTTCCACTAAGCTCACGGACTATGGCTATAGAGCAATATGCCTTCCAGTTTCAGTTCCATTTTCAGCTCCAGTTCCAGTCACCTTTCCGAACTATGGCTATAGACATTATGCGTTCCAGTTCCAGTTTCAAATCCATTTCCAGATCCAGTCAATTTTCCACTTAACTAACGGACTATGGTTATAGAGCAATATGCCGTCCAGTTCCAGTAACTTTTCTCTATAGAGCGATTGCAATAAGCGTTCCAGCTTCAGTTCCAGTTCCAGCTCCAGTCACTTTTCCACTAAACTAACGGAAACTCAGGCTGTTTATGTTGGTCAAACATTTGGGCAGCATGTTGACAAACCTGTTGTCGAATCGTGTGTACACACACACACACACACACACACACACACACACACACACACACACACACACACACACACACAGCTATTTATATCGTGCCAGGGTCGTTTGTAAGAATAATCTACATATATGTATATGCTCGAATCGTGTCTGTAGCGCCTATTTAACCAATCTACATACATATATGCAAATTTGAACGAGGATGGGCAGAACGTACGATAAGAACCGAAAATTGTGCTGTCGCGACCCACGATTTATTTGACTATTTCAAAGTATTTTAATAGGCATTACGTAAGATATTGCATATACGCATACATATACATATACATGCATACATATACATATATATGTATGTATATGTGTTTGATATATTTTGGAAACTGTTTGCCTGTCTATTTACTACATTGTTATAGATTGTTGTGGCCCAAAACGGAAATTATGACACACATTTATTTATTCTTTTTTTTTTTTTTTTTTTTGCTGCTTTGCCGCACACAAAAATCTCAGGAATTTTTTGACCAAAGGCGTTTACCGCCGCCGGTTTGTTACTGAGAAAAGGCGAGCACAAAACGTTTCGTTTCAAAATATGCAAAATCGTGTATTTTATGGGCATGGGCACGAGCTGAACGTTGACTAAGTACAAACACCCAAGTGAGCTCATCTTAAAGTTCGCATTGACACTCTGTCATAAACAATTGCGCTTGTTTTTATTTGTTTGTTAACTCAGTCAATACACACACACACACACACATGCATGCATACGAAAAATGTTGTTCGATGACGTCACACTTGCACGACGACGAACGCAAGTGTGGAAGCTGCACAATTATCGTGTTATCGTTATCGTGCTGCCATTGAACTTCAAAGGCAAAGGCCGACGACACTGATCCTGCGTGCCATGTGGGTGTTGCCATATGATTGTAATTCAGCGATATGTTTACAAATGGCAGCTGTCGATCAGGCAAGTATGCCTGCTGCATACACAAGTAAATTTGTGTACGTGAATGTGTGTGTGTGTGTGTGTGTGTGTGTGTGTGTATGGAAGTTCTATTTGATTTTCATGCTTCACAAGACAATTTAAACATTTATGATTTACCCAGCAGACGAAGCAAATTATCAAAGATCGAATCACATGAATTTGATTGTCATCGGCGCTTTTCAAGCGTAATTTTCTCAAATAGACAAGCATAACCTATATTACATACATAGTATGTACAGTATGTCAATAAAGTGTTTTTACTAACAAAAAAAAACTAATTTTTTGGGTTTAGTTGAAAATAAATGTACCTAAAAGTGAGAATTTTTTTTCAATTATAATTTATTTCGATTCTATATTTCTCCTAGAACTTAATGGCAAAAAGAATTGTTAAATAACATTACCCAAACATTTTATAAAATTAAAAAACTAAAAACATTCACATTTTATGCTGTCAATAAAGTGTTTTTACAGCTACGGTAAATTGTTTTGCCGTTCTCTTTTGGGTGATCCCGTTAGATTTGGGCCCATGCGTTTTGGCTTCTCTTGTGTCTTCGACTTTTCTTGTCATTTTCTATTGCAATTTATAACGTTTTGCTTTAATTTTATGAAAAATAAAATGCCAGGAAAAAGAACAACTTTTGAAGTCGCTCAGCTGGTGTATTATAACCATCAGATGGGACGTCAAGTCTCGGAACTGGCTGATATGTTTAATTTATCAAAAGCAACGATATACAACATATTAAACAGAGCCAATAAGGAAGATAGGCTAGAGGCAAAGCCAGTATGTGGTCGACCCTGCAAAATTTCTGACAGAGATAAGCGAAAAATTCTGAGAAAAATTGAGAAAAATCCACAAATTTCGCTTAGGGATATTGCTCAGGAGTTCAAGGAAGAAAGTGGTGTTGATGTGTCACATGAAACTGTCCGAAAATTACTGAATTCCAATGACTACACATCACGAGTTGCCAGGAAAAAACCTCTACTATCGGCGGCGAATATTTTGAAGCGGCTATCGTTCGCTCAAGTCCATGTAAATAGTTCGAACGATTTTTGGAGTAACGTCATATTCTGTGACGAAAGCAAGATGATGCTATTCTACAACGATGGGCCATCCAGAGTCTGGAGAAAGCCACTAACAGCGTTGGAAAACCGCAATATTATTCCAACCGTTAAATTCGGAAAACTATCAGTGATGGTGTGGGGGTGTATTTCGAGCAAGGGTGTAGGAGATTTGACCTTCATTGAGAATACCATGGATGCTAGACAATATCTGAGCATTTTACAGACACATCTCGTCAGTAGTGCACAGAAATTTGGATTCTATGAGGACAATAAGCCAATTTTTAAATTTTACCAGGACAATGACCCGAAGCATAAAGCTCATATGGTAAGAGTTTGGCTGTTGTACAACTGTGGAAAGGTGTTAGACACTCCACCACAAAGTCCAGATATGAATCCAATAGAAAATGTGTGGTCATATTTGAAAAAAAAAGTCGCAAAGCGGAGTCCAAAATCAAAAACTGATTTAAAAGCTGCTGTACTGGAAGAATGGCAGAAGATTCCAGAAACATACATACAAAACCTTATTGTTTCAATGAAACGGCGATTGCAGGCTGTATGTGACGCTAATGGCAGCCACACAAAGTATTAAAAAAAAATATTCCTGTTTTTTTAACATTGTTATTTAGTAATAAAGTTTCGTGTAAAAACACTTTATTGACAGCATAAAATTTGAATGTTTTTAGTTTTTTAATTTTATAAAATGTTTGGGTAATGTTATTTAACAATTCTTTTTGCCATGTATGTACGTACATATATATTGTGGCCAGTGATTGTTATATGTATATTAAAAACAAATAGATAATTGCTTACCATATCCATCAGTAAATATATTATGTTGAACATTTCGAGTTTCATTTTAACACTTTGTGCTGTTGCAAATTTGTGTGAATGCGCTTCTAAATCGAGTTGTTTAACTGTGTAAAAAATAACTGTTTATGGTCAAGTGCAGGCTGCCAGCACACTTTGGTTCAATCAACTTTGCGCGCCAGGGGGCGCTTTTACTTCACGCAATCATAAGTTCGCACACACACACACACACAAAACAAAAAACACAAGCGAAAGACAAACAATAACATAAACAAGAACCAGTTGACTTCAGTCTCTGCTGCTGCTGCTGTTGTTGTTGTTGTTGCCAGCAGGTCGCCTTTGGCTTTGGCAATGTCTGCAACTTTCAGCTTTCACTTTTTTTTTTCTTGCCTTTTGTTTTAAACAACACACACACATACACACACGCGCGCGCGCACACCTGTGCGATTGCCGCCTAATGCTTATTGCGATTTAATTGTGGGCAAAAAAAAAAACAAATCCAAAACTCAAAATGGGCATGTCATCGAAATCTGTGCCATCGCCGCCCACACACGTACAAACAGACAACACACGTACACGAACTGACCGTCAAAGTGCAGCGTTGCCACTGCCAAAACGCTACGCACTTTTTTTCTACTTGAATCACAATGTGAAAACGGGCATATTGGTTTGGCTGGTCCGTTTGTTTTTTTCAAGGAGACTTGCAACTTGAAATTCTATATTCTATAATGGGTTATTGCAGAGTATTTCGCAGTCGGCTGTACTCGGCTGCAACGTTCTCACAGGTTATTATGTTCAAATTTTACTCAGCTCAACGATTTTGTAATTTAGTATTTATGTGTATAGGCAAGAGGCAATTAACTGGTTGCCATTGTTCAATTGCTTAAGGTGACATCATGTCACAAAAAAAAAAAAAAAAAAACAATATTTAATGCCAATTGACATCAAAAATTCGCTTGTCTACTAAATATGCATATTTATGAATTGCTTGAATTCATTTCAGATATTGGGCATCATTTGCATGGCGCTTGCCTCACCTGCACAAGCGGCTGCGACAAGTTTCTTTCTGTTCGTTGTTGTCATCTCTTTCATAATTACCATCCTGCTGATAGCTGCCTATTTTCTGGGCATACGCGAGGCGCTCAATGTGGCCGTCAATTGGATATTCTCAGTGAGTATTTTCTTTGTGTTGCCTGGTCATACTGCAGCTGTGTCAAGCTAACCCTATCTCTCTCTCTCTCACACACACACACACACTCACTCTCTCAGGAACTGTTAACAACCGCTGTGCTGACGCTGCTCTACTTTATTGCATTCATTGTGCAGCTGGCCAGATGGGCCGAATCGAACGCTAAGGGACATGGCTCCAATACGGCGGCTGGCGTTTTTGGATTGTTCAATTTCTTGGCCTATGCGGCGGGCACATACTTCTTATTCCTGGCGCACAGATCGGGCGCCACCCATTAATGTCCATTTGTAGCATAGCCGAGCATCTGATCTGATCCGATTCGATTCGATAGACAATGGCATCAATTTAATAGTCACGCGCGCACAAGATAAACAACAGAAAAAAAAAAGAAGAAAAAAAAGGCAAGCTGCGCACCCACCACGAAAGCCAATGTAGGGTAGTTTAAGTTTTTAAGTGCAATTGTTCGGAAAGTTTGTTTTTGTTTACGTTCTTTTTCTGTTCACTTACATCTAACGGCAACAGCGAATGTGAACAAGCTCAATTGAAAGTTCGCTCAGTTCAGTTTGGTTCCGGTTCAGGTTCGGCGCGTGCGATTTGATTTGTTTTTAATGTTATTTTAATACTTACTTTAACTTTAACGCCTGCTAACATTTAAGTTCAATCAACACGAGGCAACAAAAAAAAAAAATAAGTTCAATAAATTATTCGTATTTTGTAACTGTACATAAATTGGCTATTCTTATTGGTTTATACGCTGCGCTGGTGTGCAACTCGGCTAACATGGATGCTGTCTTAGCCGTGTTACACACCATCAGCTGCACAATTTTCGATCAGTTTCGATTAATGCTCTTGCACCGTAGAAACGTTTTTTAATTAAACGAATTTGACGAGTTTTGCAATTGTAAATGCATTCGCTGTTGGTGCGTAACTTGACTAAATGCGGATCAGCAACCGTACGATAAACAGTTTATTACACTTAAAATATGAATATGAGTCAAAAAGATAATGCTGCGCACGTAATTTAAGCTGATTTTGTTTTAAATAAATATAATAATTTGACAAGCCAGGGCAGCTGCTGGTTGGCAACTTGACTAAGCCAGCTGGTTGGCAACTTGACTAACAGTGCGTGGGCACTGTTCTAGCAGAGTTTCACAACCGGCGGTAAGAGAAAATGAAAAATTTGCTGCGCAGTCTTTGATTTAATTTTAATAATATCCTTCATTTCACTGTCAATTTATGGTAAATTTCTGAAATAGCCATCACAAGAACAAAAACGAAAAAAGAAAAGTCCGAAAATTACATGGATCCACTGTCGAGGTGTTGCTAACAGTTCACGTAGATGTATTTTGATAAGCGTTTGGTAAGTCTGATTCTCGAGATAATTCCAATGTTTCTTGATCTATTTAATAATGATGGGCTATTTCTGGAACATCCACCAGCTCCGCTTTCTGCGACGGGGCGGGGGAGGGGAAATTGGCTTGGCCGGGTGGGGGGGGGTGGGGGGGGGGGGGGGGGTCGGGGGTTGAGAGTGTCGGATAATTTATACGTACTTCTTAAATTCATCATAAATAGCCAAAACAAGGGCGCCGCCAGTGCCGCGAATAATATTGGAAAAGGCGCCCTTGAAAAAGGCAGCGGGGCCCTCCTGCTTGGCAATCACCAGCCAACAGTGGGCGGTATTTTTATAGACCATCTCCGATTTTTTGAGGCCCGACTGCATCATCATGCGACGACGGACCGTATCGAACGGATAGGATGCAATGCCAGCTATGGTGGTCACCACCTGGGCGATACCCCAGCTAACATAGAAGGGTGTATTCTTCGGATTTGGCAAATGATCGCGACACGTATCGTAGAAACCAAAGTATGCGGCACGATATATAATAATGCCCTGTACGGACACAATGAAGCCGCGATACAGTCCAATCAGTCCATCCGATTTCACCACCTTTCGGAGGCAGTCGATCAATCCATTGAACTCGCGCTGCCCTCCCTTGCCCACATCAGCGGCCAAACTGAAAAGTGCGTAAAGTGCAGCATTAACCAACACTGGCTATCTGGCGTACTACATTTCAATGCGTCGGCCATAATTTCACCAAGTGGCAACCTTGGCGAAGACAAAACAAATTCAGCCAAAAAAAAAAAACTTAAAAACTTACCGAGTACGAGCAAAGTCCAGCGGATACACAAAGCACAAAGAAGTGGCGCCAGCAGCGCCACCAGATGCCAAATTGCCCATGAAGTGGCGCCAAAACTGTTTCTTTTTATCGACGCCACCTAAAAATACCTGAATATCGTAGGAAGAGAGAAAAAAAAAAAACGCACAAAATATGCCAAAGTCAGGGATTTTTTAGTACTTGTTCAAGTTGTGCGTCACAGCCTCACACACACACACACACGCACTCACCGACTTGTACACATCCTTGAAGGCAAAATTAAGAGCCTGTGTTGGAAAATAACGTATCACATTGGCCAAGTTGCCGCGCCATAATGATGCAAATCCCTGTTCGCGCGGTATGCGCACAAAACAATCCACAATACCCTTGTAGCGTTGATCCTGTGCTATCTGTTTGGATACCTCCTGCACCTGGAGAATCAGTTTAACGCGCTCGATGGGCGCCACCGCGGTTTTGGCAATGGCGGCCGATACGCCGCCCATCATGAAGTCAATTAAGAAGGACTTGAGATCGCCCCCAGCTCTCATGCCGCCACCTTCATCGCCCATCCTGTCGACTTTGTTGTGATGACTTCTCTGCGAGTATTGCTTGCTCCTTTGCTTGGAAACCTCTTTCGGTGAGGGGGGGGGGGAAGTTTTTTTTTGTTTTTCTTTTTTTTTTTTGCTTGGTTAGTTTTTCTTGTTTTCTTTTTGGTTTAAAGTTCTGCGCTTGTGCGTTGCGTGTTCCGTTCAATCTGCGCTAGCTCTACAGTTTCCAAAGGATATTCAAGTCCGACGAAAATAAAATGTTAAAATACATGAAGTTTTTGCCGAAAAATTTGGGTTTATATTAAAACCAGCTATGTGTGACATGGAACAATTTTGAATTGAACATAAACTGTGACATTCAATTCCGAAGACTACTTTGATTTTCATTACGTTTTTTCAATTCAAGTTCAGGGAAAAATCATGCCTGGCAAAATGCGTCAGTTTTTCCCAAAACTCTCTGGCCAACACAAAGTTTTCCAGTTAAATTGTTCGAATATTATTTTGATTTCAATAACAATATCCATCTAATCTATTTTACGATAAATTGAGGTGAGTTTTTGCAATCGGACGAATTTCTCTTTTTTTTTTCTACATTCACTTTTATGGATTTTCACAGATAATTGCATGCACCTCTTGCAGGCGGCAGCTCGCTCTCTCGCTCGCTCTCTCGCTCGCTCTCTTTCTCTCTTTCTTTTTGCTGCCGCCAGTGGCACGTTTAAGAAAGCGTGTGGGGAAGAGCGAAAGAGCGAGAGAGCTGCATGTGAAACGAAAACACAATTTGTCTACTATTTTTATCAATTTTTATATTTTTAACCAACCGCAGGTTGATTTTTTGTTGGTTTGTTGTTACAGCAGAGGCTAAAGAAATTGTTGTTCGTATAATTTCCTTTGCATTGGGCACTCCATTGATTTATAACAACATGTTAGCGATTGGCAAAAGGAGCGTGGGCGTCTTGTTGGCGTTGTTCCAAGGCGAAACAGAGCACAACAAACAGCAAACGCCGCGCTCTGCCACAACAATCACCTGTCGAACTTAACAAGAATACTAGCTTATAAATAATATTAATGTCTAGAATGTTCGTCTGATTTTTGTTTTTGTCTCTCCTTCTGCTGTGTTTTTGGGGGTTTTGGTGTGTTGTTTGTGGGGTTCAAGTTTGGTTGTTGCCGTCGCTCCGCTCCGCTCCGCCCATATCCAGCTGCAGCTCCTTTTGCATATCATCATCCATCCTCTTCTTCGTGTTGTTGTTGTTTTTCTGGCCATCCTTGATGTTCTTTAGGTGTTTTTTTCTTTGCTATTTTGGGCAAGTGCAATTAAATTATATTCCAGTTATTATATATAATATAATTTGATAATTATATCGGGGATTATTGCTGATGTTTCTCGCTGTTCTTTAAACATTTTTTGTTGTGGTTTCCTTTTTGTTGTTGTTACAATTTATATAATATAATTAGCTGGTAGTGGTTTGTTGTTGTTGTTGTTGTTATATTTGTTGTTGTTGTTGTTTTGAATAATTTAATAATTTAATTTACAAGAACTTCTTGATTTCATCGTACAACACAAGCACGAAAGCACCGCCAGTGCCTCTGAGAATGTTGGAGAAGGCGCCCTTGAAGAAGGCACCGCTGCCTTCCTGCTTGGCAATGGTGGCCCAGCAGTGCAGTGTGTTCTTGTAGATGATCTCGGTGGACTTGCGGCCAGACTGCATCATCATGCGACGACGGACAGTATCGAATGGATAGGACACAATACCAGCAACAGTTGTAACAGCCTGAGCGATGGCCCAGCTAATGTAAATGGGTGTGTTCTTGGGATCGGGCAACATGCCGCGAGCGGTATCGTAGAAGCCAAAGTATGCAGCACGATAGATGATGATGCCCTGGACAGATACACCGAAGCCGCGGTACAAGCCACCAATACCGTCACTCTTGAAGATCTTGGTCAAGCAGTTGCCCAGGCCGGTGAATTCACGAGCGCCACCCTTGCCAGTATCAGCAGCCAAGCTAAAATTGAGACCCATTCGAATTAGATTCAATCGTTGTTTCGTACCCATTATAATGCCACTTACCGAGTACGAGCGAAATCCAATGGGTAGACAAAGCACAGAGAGGTTGCACCAGCGGCACCACCAGAGGCCAAGTTGCCCATGAAGTAACGCCAGAACTGGGTGTTCTTGTCAACACCACCCAAGAAGACCTACAATAGACAATGGGCAAAATGGCTGTTGTAGCGAATCTCTTTTAAATTGGGGGGAGGGGTGAATGCTTACCTGCTTGTACTTGTCCTTGAAGGCAAAGTTCAGAGCCTGAGTTGGGAAATATCTAATAACGTTGGCCAAGTTACCGCGCCAGTATGAAGCAAAACCTTGTTCCTTTGGAATGCGGATAAAGCAATCAACCATACCCTTGTATTGCTGATCGGGGGTGATTTGTTTCGAGATGTGCTGAACCTGCAGCAGCAGTTTCACACGCTCGATGGGTGCGACGGCAGTCTTTGAGACAGCTGCGGAGATGCCACCGGCAGCGAAGTCCTTGGCGAAGCCAATAGCATCAAAATCCTTGCCCATTTTGCTATAAACACGCCAATTGCGTTAAATTAATACAAAAATTGTCAACTCCTCCTCCTTCTTTACATCCTTCTCCACCACCGTTCGTCCATCATCTCAGTTAGTTGTCATTTGTGAGGTGAATGATTTGTGATATTTAGCATACTTGATAATTACTTGCATTATGTATGAGCACATTTCACTTTTAGACACAGTTTTAACATAAACAACAAATTGATAGCCACCAAAAACCAAATGAAAGTATTTATAACATGCATGAATGAAATTGAAAAACGAGTAACGGCGGCAAGCGCCCAACTTAACGAGAGCAATCGATACCGCGCGACAACCAATCGATTATCGATACCAGCTTGCAATCGTATCGAGTACTTTTGCGGCAGTTGGCGAATCGAAAGGCCAACCAAAGTTCGATGAGCTCTGCAAGTGCAGATGCAACCACAAAAGAAATGCATTAAAATGTGTTAAATAAACTAGCTAAGCATGCAAATGATGAAGTTGGTTAATAAACAAATGATGTACATATAAGATAAATGAAATAAGACCGGCAGCAAGCCGGCATCATGAGGCAGAGTTTTGTTTAGACTATGGACAGTTCGTTTTTTTTTTTTATTTTTGCTGTCGTCTGCGAAATCAGCAATTAAAATTTCAAGCATTCATATGTGTATATATATATATATAGATGTGTGTATGTTAATTTCAAGCATTGATATTTATGTGAATGTGTGTGTGTGTGTGTGCGCGCGCTTGGCAACGTTCGTTGTCAGGCGGCTTTGCAATTGTTTCGTGTAGTTGTATTGGTGCGCTTATTGTTTATACGAGCCACATGCATGTGATGGTGTTAGTAAAAAAAAAACAACAGCGCTGCCAGTTTGGGGGATTTTTTTTTCTTTTTGTATTTCTGCTTATGAATCAGTTTTGAAACGCCCAACTGCCACGTTTATGCAATTGGACACGAATTGAGCTGAGCTTTCTTTAAACCGGCAATAATAGATTAACGCTTTCTCTCAATCAAGAGCACATTTTGGCAATGAGAACATGTTCAGGTAGATGAGTGTGCATTCATTGCATAATTTATACGCTTGTATAACATGGTGATAGATGGCGCTTTCAAGTCTATTCAAATGCCAAGAGCACAGCTGCTTGCCAATTGGTGTAAAGGAGATGGCTAGCTACAGAAAAAAAAAAATGTATGGCCAATGTTCTCGGCAGCTGACATTGGCCAAAGTGTGTTGGCGAAAGAAAAAGAGAGAGAGAGCGAGCGAGAGAGCGCCTTCATTTCGTGCTGTTGTCTTGTTAAATTTAGATTTCAAGTGTAGCAGAGCCAAATTTATTCATTGTTATTTGTTTTTGTTGCCTTAAATGTGGCACAAAATTAAATTAGCAGCCCGCCGGCCGAGTCAGTCTAGGCCAGTTTTCATTGACGAAAACCACATTTATGTAATCACTTGAACACACAGCAAGAGCGGCTAGTCATTTAAGAGAGAGACAGAGAGAGAGGGAGAGCGTGCAAGAGAATTTTATTTCATGGCGAGTTGTGGGTGTGCTGAGTGCAGACGCAAACAACTGTAAAAAGCGTTGGCCTGTTATCTAATCTCCAGAATACCGTTGATTGAAAGAGCTTTCGCAAAGAGCACGCGCGACTGTGATGTAACAGTTTAAACGGGCCGAAGAAAAAAAATAAATGTAATAATTCTAATCAGCAGTAAGGGAAAATAAGAGCTAGGCGAAGTTGCACGTGTAACGGGGCTTTCGTTATATGGCGTATTGTTTATCGCATTGCACTTGCTTGTGGAAAAAAAAGGGGGGGATAGACGCCCTTTAATGTCGAATTGCATAACTGCCTTTGTCACTAGCAAAAAAAAAATAAAATAGTTGCAAATTGTTTAACTACATAATTGATAATCAATTGTAAACACAAGACACGCTGCTTTTGTTGTTGCCCAATCGATTTTTAATCGGTTTATGCTTTTGCACATTTATGTAACGTTCGAAAAAAAAGAATTTCATTTATTTCAAGCAACGAAAACAAAAAATAGAAAAAAAAAACCAATGCTTGCGCTTTCAATTATTATTGCTGCTCTTCAGTTATTGTTATTGACGTTGATATTTGAATCAATTAATATTGATATGCACTATTGATGCAATTCATTTGTAATACGTACAATTTGTTTGTGTTTAAATATCACAGCACCGAAAAAAAAATGATTTATCCTTATTCCTTGCGAAATCAAAGGTCTGCACCGGACGGCAACTAAATTGCTTGTGAACGCTTCGGTACAGCAGAGGCGGCGAGCTAGCCTGTGCTGCGCTGCGTTGGTCAGCTGCTGCCTCTGCTGGCAGAGGCAGAGGCAGAGTCAAGTTCAGGTGCTCGCTCACGCGTCGCAGTCGCAGCGCAACAGTTGCGAGAAACAGAGAGAGAGAGAGGGAGAGAGTATGAGGGTCACATAACGGTAACAAAAGCGTTTAAGCCCAAACCATTGAGAGACAGTTGGCAACAAATGCTGGGACAGCAAAAACACGCAAACGCACACAAAGCTTTTGCACGTGTGCGCAAAAGCAGCAAATGACGATCGAGAACGAGAGAGCAGATCAGCGCGCCTATCATCTCTTCTATATATATATATATATATAAATACATATACGGTTTATCAATGTATATGTCTAGTAGTGACAGCAGTGAATTCAATGCCAATCGCATTGCATAACACTGTTAATCAGTTCACAGGCAGCAGAGTTACGGGCCGGACACTGATAAGAAAAGGAAGTGAGAATAAAGAGGCATATGTATTTACATGGTAATTGTATTGGCCAAAGAATAAAAAAAAAAAAGAGATGAAAAATAAAACGTATGTGATGGATTGGATTTGCATTTTAAACAATTGTTTTTCATTTACCCCTTTCGAGGTTTGCAGCGCCTTCAACGGCAAAACTGAATGCTTGCCAAAATTGTAAATTTGTACTCAGCAGTTGGCAACTCGCCGACGTCAGCCAGCGGCAGCGTTGACGCCCGCGTCCACAGCGTATAGCATGTGACTAGTGGAAAATTTGACGCATGTGCGCTGCGCTCTCTTTGGCGCTCTCGCGCTCTTGCTGTCTCATGCTCTCTTAAATACTACTACTGCTAGCAAATGCGACGTCACAGGGCCTTTTGCAGGCGGAAGGCAGCAAAATTGAAATGTGCGTACTGCGATTAGATAAACGCCGCCGCCGCCACTAATACAACCTTTTTATGTAAGCAATTTTCAAGGTCTTTGAAACGCCGACAATTACATAAAAAAAAAAAATGAACACTAGACGCTGTCTGACGTGCGACAAATAGTTGAATGGCAACGCGCCAAAAATGCAGCGGAGTTAATGCAGCCCCAAACTCAATTGGGGCAGCTATTTTAAGCAAATAAGTTCAAGTGCGCTGGCCCTGCCACAAAATCAGATTAATCGGCTAAGTACGGCAGCATGTTAATGAGGGGGTTGCCAGACAGCCGTCACATAAACAATTAATCGCCAACAATAGAAAGTCAAGCTATGCATGAAATTTCCAGAACTTTAACTGCTGACGCATCATCGAGGGCGTCGATTTATTCTATCGCTTGCCAATTCCAACAGTAGTTGGCAACTGCAAGAATGAGAATTCGCTGGGCTGTTGTCACAATACCAGATAGGAGGACAGGACGTTTTAGCTGTATGTTATCGATGATTGGCATCAGTTAGAAAACGGCAAATGCAAAATGGCGCCAAAAAGGCCACACAAAAGGGCAAAAATAAATACAAAAATCACATGCGGCATATTTACACGACGCGTTAGCTCTGCTGACGTCACAAAGATCAGCAGCAGTAGCAGCAGTAGCATCTGCTGCGCTCGCTGATTGCCTCTGCTAAATCAACCGGTTCTGGTTTTTGAAAGCATTAACAGCCAGGTGAAATGTGAACGTACATTTTTTGAGGGTTTGAACACCGACAAAATTAAAGCGGTCATTGCTCAATGGAAGAAGAAATGTGCTCTTAGAATTTCAAGAAACAAGAGAAAATGTAAGAAAAAAAAAATATATATATATATATACATATATAATACACCAACACACACGTATTTATTCGCTGCGATTCTTGCGCGTGTAAATGGCGAAGCGTGCGAGTGAGAGAGCGACAAGCACATGGAATTCATACGAATGTATATGTATGTATGCGTGTGCCGCTTTTCTAGCCGCAATTGTCACACTTATAACAATAAAAAAAAACAGTGAAAATTCTGCACATATACATGCATGTAAAAAAGTGGGGATATTCAATTAGATTCATTACAAAAGCAGCTGGCGTAAATTGTACACATGCAAGCGTGTGTGTGTGTGTGTGTGTGCGACAGCTTGCTTGTGTGGCACCGTTTTTTTCCTCTGCTTGCTTTCAACTTTTTCTTGCGAAAATATTTTTGTAGGTTAGAACTCGTGAGCGTTCTTAGCACATTGCAGGTGTGTGTGGGTGGGTGCATTGAAAAAGAGGACACGGACATGGACACGGACGATTGTTTTACCTTGTGAATTATATTAGACGCTGCATCATAAGTCTTTAATTTTGCACAGCGTTGCGCTTTCGTCTGCGAATAATTTTGTGGTTATGTAAGCACAATTTATGCATCATTTTTGTTATTTTCATATGAAATTAATTATACATTTTCTAATGGCGCCGTGGCCCATGGCCACAATATACAGTTAGATTCATACACAGGAATATTAAACCAACACCGACACATAAAAAAATAGGCACATTACATAACTAAAAACTAGTGCAAGGTGAACGTGAAGGAAAAAAAATCAATGGCAAATTTATAATGGATGCACTGTTCGTTTTACTTTTTAGTTGCAGTAGTTCGCAATAAAAAAAAGGGTTGTATAAAAGAAAAGCACAATACCTTCAGTTATTAAACTTCTTACAAAAGTCACAGAATAAAAACTTCTTTTGCAGAAATAGAATTTCCCACTTGGCGATGAAATAAGCCGCGTGCTCACTTAACGAACGCTATTCGTGAAGTGTTCGTAAAACGTGAGCAGTGTGCTAAACTATCGAGAGATCTTGACAGAAAAAAATCGGTGTACCAAGACAGCTATCGATGATTATATGTGACCATTGCGATATGTTGATTACACTCTAATTGTACGACTTATATAAGGATAACATATTTAAAATAATGTATATTACTAATAATGACATATTAATATACATTATTATATTAAATTAAAATCATAAATATGGTTTTTTAAGCAATAGGTAAAATGGTTTTAAAATAAAAGTATCGGCATTGTCGAATGGTCACACTATCTTTTCTAGAGTCGAAAATCAACAAATATCGACATACCAAAAGTTTTTGACATTCAGTATATTTTGAGCACTTGTCAACACTAAATAGAAAAGTTGGGAAAACGTGCGAGTGCGTGACTATTCTACTACGCTTTCAAGAGAAAAAAGAGAAATTAATATTTGTACATTCAATTATAGAAAATGACTGGTCGTGAGGGCGGTAAAAAGAAGCCACTGAAGGCGCCCAAGAAGGAAGGCAAGGAGCTCGATGATGAGGATATGGCATTCAAGCAAAAGCAAAAGGACCAACAAAAGGCGCTCGAAGCAGCCAAACAGCAGGCTTCCAAAAAGGGACCCCTTGTGGGTGGCGGCATTAAGAAGTCGGGCAAAAAATGATCGCAACGCATAAACTATTATTATTTGAAGAAATTTGTGAAAACACACACACACACACACACACACACTGACACAGACAGACAGACAGATGCCCGAATACACTATGAAAATTGCATTTGCAAAAATTCAGTTTTCGTCTATGTAAATTGACCAAAATTGAGCATTAAGCAGTTTACACAATTAATTTCTCGTTTTATACTTACGATTAAACACAAATAGCGCATTAAATATTGTCATAAAAACAACAAATGCCGCATTCATTCTATGCACAATGATCAAGGCCTGCGCTAGAGATGGCCGCGTGTCACGAACCACATTTCGGCACGAAAATTCCGACTTTCTGCTTGATACTCAAATATTTTGTTGGTATCGCAAGCTTAATTTGGCTTTTCATTTCTATGACACATCATTCAGATGTAATTGAAATTGAAATTTAGCTCATTACGCGCCAAACTCTAGGCTGAAGTGCTTTTACAAGTCATTTGGTTTATTTTTTTTTTGGTCCGTCATTTGTTAGTACATTCCGTGCGGGCACTTGGAAAAACTCTTCTTTCCTGCTCTTAATCATACGGAAAGCTGGACTGTGTGCCCGGCAACTGTACGGATTTGGAGGCCACTGTGCAAGCGGCCAAAATGTGTGCGGACAGCTCTTTTGCCGGATAACGCGCCAAGTTGTGTGCCAAGGCGCCAATGAAAGCATCCCCGGCGCCAGTTGTGTCCACCACCAGATCAGAGGGCACAATTGGTGCTGGCACCAGCTCGTATGCCATGGGATCGGCCTTTGAAGCGCAAACAGCGCCCAATTTGCCCAGCGTTATGATCACCGTGTTGGCGCCCAGCTCGATGAGGCATTTCAGTGCCGCATTCGCCTCACTGGAAAGCGGTCAAGTTATATTATAAGAATTTATAGAGGATCAATGGGCTAGCTAAGCTTAAATACCCTTGCAGAGATTTGGCCGAGCATTGTTGATGCCCTCTGCAAGGGCATTCAACTGAGCTAAGGAATTCTTTACTTAATGCTCTTGATGCTCTTCACGCCGATGATGAGCGCCGCCTCCGTCTCGTTGACACAGAGAATGGTCGGCAGGCGCAGCAGGTCCACCGGCAACTGTGCTAAGGCTGGCGCCGCATTTAAAATGGAGATGCCCCGGAACTCGCGCAAGGCGCACAGCGTTGCCTCAATGGGCGTCTCCAGCTGGCAGACGAGCACCTTGGCCTGTGCGAATAGTTGCGATGCGCTTGCCACATCGTTGGCGCTGAGCAAATTGTTGGCGCCCACCACAATGATGATGTTATTCTCGCCGCCGGCGGACACAGCTATTTGGGCAACGCCCGTTGTTTGGCCGGGGATCTGTTGCACATGCTCCACGTTGATGTGCTCGGCGCGCAGCTGGTTCATGTAGTTGGTACCAAAGCTGTCCGCGCCCAGTTTGGCAATGAGCGCCGTTTTGGAGCCAAGACGAGCGGCTGCCACACACTGATTGGCACCCTTGCCACCGAATCCGGTCTGGAATTTGTGGCCATGCAGCGTTTCGCCCGGCTTGGGTAGACGTGGTGCGTAGCTGGGCGGGGTGGGTATAAAAGTAGCGGCTGCAGTGACATTGAAATTGATGCAACTTTCGTTCCACTTACCAGATGAAATCTATGATGGCCGAGCCAAAGACGAGCACATCCAGCGGCTCGCTCATTTTGCTAGGGCGCAGAATTTCAAAGTGTTTGTGAGTGTGTGTGTGTGTGTGTGTGTGTTATGCAGTGCGCTTATCTCAAGTGCTGTGTGTGTTTGCCTTGGATGATAATTGGCAATAGTTGGTAGTGCAGCGCCGGCGGCTTATCAGCGGCACTGCGCCGTCTTTGGTCTGCCCGGCAGAATCTGCGCGTTGGTCTATTGTGACGTTGTTGCGATCGTGACTTCACAATAGTGTCGTGTACTATCGATAACTATGGCATGAAAAAAACAAGCAAGCCTATGAGAAATCATGCAAGTGATATGTTCTCTTTTCACGTATGTAGCCTTGGCAAGGCAGATCAACGTCTAACTAATTGCACACGAAAATCGCAGATCATCTCCCTTTTTTTTTTGATTACAGCAGAGAAACGTTTTAAGCTTCCTAAAGTGGCGCACACTCGATAATTTAAGGTAGCGATTATCGATTGGTATCGTTTTTGAAAGGGTTACGAGTGCAATTTATAAAACTAACAAATATAAACGAAAATATATACACAATGCTGCATTTACTTTCGCACATGCAGCTTTACCAATACAAACCAATGTTTCATGTGCAACACAAGAGAGTTTGCTTAACACTTCTTTTTCAGATGCACGAGATTTTTGTTGATTTATATCACGCTTCAAATCATTAAACGGTTGAAATCTACCAGGGAGTGAATGAAGTATTCAAGGACCCTCTTAATATAAAGAGGTAATTGAGTTTGCGGGCGACGACAATTTAGATTTCCTCACAGTTCGCGAAGGTGCGTAAAAAGAGAACGTCAAAGCCGCAACACACTGATTTCTTGAATAACCTGACACAAGCGCGCGATAAGCTTTTTTGAGCTGAATTAATCGTGTATCCTTTCGACCTATCGAGTAACTGCTCAAGCGATTAGGTTCATTATCGATAAGAAAACTAACAAAAATTGCAGCGGATGCCACCAATGTTATTTAGCTGTTATTTCAGGAATGAAAAATCTTGGTTTTGCTTGTGATTTGAAGAGTTCTTTTTTTAGTCGCCGCGAGCCGTTGGCAATATCGCACATAATATCACGAAAATGTAGTCTATAAAATTCCCGACGAGGTTTCTTATTGGATTTCATTGTGATGCCAAAGTGCTAAAAAGCAATATCGATTACTTGAATGGTTTTTGAAAAATAGTGGTATCGATAAGGTATCGTTTTAAGAAGTTATCGAAAAGTAAAACAAGTGCCAGCCAACCGCTCTAAATATAAAAGGCTGATTTTGAAAATATTTAAATAATTTGCAAACATGTCGCTATACAGATTTACAAATACTTTTAGACTGGCACCCAGAGTAGCTGGTAAGTGTGACCAGCTAAAATTGACTGATTAGGATAATTGTTGTACTCTAATTGGATTTATTAAACCCGAGTCCAACCCGACCGGTACAAAGTCCGAATCTGAGTGTGTGGCATTCAATTGGCAGCAGTTGCAACAGCCTAATTAAACCTTGCACCATTTACCTTAACAGCCATGCAGCCCTATCGCAACAAAACACACAACAGCAGCGCTCAGGCCGCTAGCGATGTCGCCGCCAAGTTCAAAACTCTGGCCATCAGTTCGCCCAAGCCCTTCGTCTTTCATGTGGAGCTGAATCGACCCAAGCAGCTCAATGCGATCAACAGGGATATGTGGCTGTAAGTGTAAATATCATATATATATATATATACGTATACATCACCATCATTTGTATTGGCTTGCTCCGCAGCGAGATCAAAGACTGCTTCGAAACGCTGGCCATAAATCCGGATTGTCGCACCATTGTTCTGTCCGCGGCTGGCAAGCATTTTTGTGCCGGCATCGATTTGTCATCTATGATGAGCATGGGCCAGCAGCTGGCCGATTGCGAGGATGTGGCACGCAAGGGTGTTGTCCTGGAGCGGACCATTAAGCTCTATCAGGACTCGATTAGCGCTGTCGAGCGTTGTCCCAAGCCCGTCATCATGGCCGTGCATCAGGCGTGCATTGGTGCCGGCGTCGATCTAATTACCGCCGCAGACATACGCTACAGTACACAGGATGCCTTCTTTCAGGTCAAGGAGGTCGACATTGGCATGGCCGCCGATGTTGGTTCGCTGCAGCGTCTGCCCAAGGCCATTGGCAGCCAGTCGCTGGCTCGCGAACTGTGCTACACGGGTCGTCGCTTTGAGGCCGCCGAAGCCGAGCGCAGCGGTCTGGTCAGTCGCGTATTTCCCGACAAGGACTCTTTGGTGGTCGGCGCCCTTGCGCTGGCCGAGGATATTGCCAGCAAGAGTCCCATCGCCGTCCAGACGACCAAGGAGAGCATGGTCTATTCACTGGAGCATACCAATCAGGAGGGACTCGATCACATTGTATGCTATCTATATCTATGCATTTGCTTGTCCGGAACGAGATTTATATTAACCTTTGCCCTTTTGCCAATTGCAGCGTATTATCAACAAGCTGTATCTGCAATCCGAGGACTTTGCCCAGGCGGTGGGCGCACAGCTCACCAAAGATGAGAAGCCCGTGTTTGCCAAGCTTTAAGGGATTCTAATTTATGAACTTGAACAATTAAATGTATTTTGTTCTTTACGTTTCTTTCGTACTACCTATCGTGTATGTACATGGGCCCTGGGCGATCGGAGGAGTTATGCGCGTGATCTGATCACAATTGGTTATAAAAGTTGGAAGTAAATTATGACTAGGAATTTTGGGGCAGCCGTGAAGGCAACTACTTGAAAAGATCTTCCAGTGCGCGCCGCTCCTTGACACAGCCGGCGGTTAGCACCTCGATCTGACCCTGCTCATTGATCAGTATGTCATCCTCGATGCGTATGCCAATGCCGCGAAATTCGTCGGGCACATCTGTGCGCTTCTCATCGATATAGATGCCCGGCTCCACGGTGAACACCATGCCCGGCTGGAGGCGTGTATTGCGCGGCACATGCGGCGTATCGTGAACATCCATGCCCAGATAATGGGAGACATGATGCGGACAGAACTTGTAGCCCTGCGTGGCTAGCTCTTTGTGATCGGTCAGATCCTTGCCAACTAGTCCAATTTCCTGCAGATATTTGCCCAGCCTGTAGCAGGTCGTCTCAAACATTTGATCCAGCGTCTCGCCGCCCGGTTGCATGATCAGCTCTGAAAACACAAAAATCATGGCTTAAACAGGGATCGGCGCTAACGTCAGCTGCCTCACCAATTGTCTCTTTTTGGAGCTGCTCCATCATGTCGTAGAGAGTGCGCTGCGGATCCGTGAATTGGCCGCTGACGGGCCAGGTGCGTGTTATGTCGCTGGTATAGCCGCCGTATTCGCAGCCGGCATCCATCAGCAGCAGCTCCTGCGGCTGCAGCAACTGTGTGTTGTTCACATAGTGTATAACGGTGGCATTTTTGCCGGCGGCCACCACAGGCGGATAGGCCAAATAGCTGGCGCTGCGCATGCGGCATTTAAAGTCAATGGAGGCGTATAGCTGATGTTCCGATTGGCCCGGGCGTGTCTCGGCCATCACCTCGTTGAAGGCATGCGAGGCTATCGAGCAGGTGCGACGCATTAGCTGCATCTCGGCGGGCGATTTAATCAGACGCATATTCTCCACGAACGTGTAGACGGGCAGCAGCTGGGTGCGCTCGTTGTTGCACACCTGCAGCATCGCATCCGTCACATTGGGCAGCTCCGATTGCTTCAGATCGAACCACAAATGTGGCTTTAGCTGGGCGATACGTGCCGCCAGAGTTTGTTGGAAATTGTCGATGGGTTGTGCTTCGTGGACGCCAAAGAGCTGCACAGCATAATCGGGCCCAGTCCGTGGACCATCCCAGAGCTCGGCATGTGGATCCTTGGGTCGCATAAAAAGCGTTGACTGTACCGTGCCCACATCATCAATGGTCAGCAGAAGCACCGAGTCCGGCTCCAGACAACCGGTTAAATAATAAAAGTCTGAGCTCTGACGGAACACATACGGTATCTTGCCACTCATATACTTTTTGGACGCCGCACCAATGACCAGCTAAGGAATTATACATGGCATCAGCAACGATTAGACAATTAGACTTTCAACAGCTTAGCTAGGCCATACCATGTGAGACTTGGAGGTGCGGCCATTGAACTCATCGCCAAAGCTGCCCGCATAGGCCTGCAGGCCTTGCATAAGCTGAGAGCGACGCGTCTGAAATTCGGCCTGGCCCACGCCGGGCACCAGCTCGTTGGGCCTGATCAGATGCGGATGCGTTGCGCTTGTCGGCTGGCCGAGGGCGCGCAGTCCGTTCTTGAGAGCATCGGCCACGCCGCGCACCTCCTCGGCAGTTATTTGCGACTTGCACATTCTGGGCGCCGTATATGTGGAGAATTTCGGCTTGGTGCCAAGGGCGCGCAGCAGGCAGAAACGTGGCAGGCGTTTGAATGCAATCATAATAACGATATTCGGCAGTGGCAATTTTAATTAGTTGTTTTAGATGTGCGTTCGCTTCGCTTTGTTAGTATATGGCACGAAATTTGTAAATCTATAGCAAACATGAGCAAATGGAATAACTGACAAAAACAAAACATTTGCCGCTACGCTTTAGAGATGTGAACAAACAGCTTATCGATGTATCGACGTATCGATGTATCGCTGCAATGCGATACTTTTGCATTAAATCAACATTTATTCTCTATTAAAACTCTGGCGACTGCTTCTTTGATGATTCTATATAAAAATGTAGATTTGTAAATTGTTTAAACACTTGAGTTTGGCAATACGCAATCGTGTTCACTTTGAAATTTAGCACATTATCAAAAATATATCGATGACAAAATTCGCAAAGGATTTTAAAAATCGATACAGATTTACACAACACACTGCCGCATTATTCGCGTTTTATATATGAGCATTATTTTAGTGATACAATTCTCACCTATACCACCGCAATAGCAATGGCAAATGAAGTAAGAAACGCGAGACAAACAGACAGGCAAACCGATATATAAATATATATATATATATATATTTTCGTATTAACTGCAGTGCGGAGTGCTCCGTTTGCCGGTGGATTACGAGTCCATACGCTTCAATGACTGGTCCATCAGCTACGAGAAGTCGCACATACTGAAGAGCATGTGCCATTTGGGCAGCGACAAGTGCTGCGACAAGGACGACGCCAATCGCTGTGATCTATGCAATTATCAACATTCACTGGAGCTGCCACATCTGCCGGACATGGTGTTCCACAAAAACAAACTGGTGCTCCAGCACAAAGATGGCGCCATTATGGAATTCAAGCCGATGGACGCGCTGGCTCTCGTTGCCAACGGCAAACAGGCCGCCTTGGAGGTGGCCTGCGCTCAGGAGTGGCGCGAGACGCGGTAATCCCGAATATAATCGTAATTACACTCAACAAGCTTGTGATTTATAAGAATCTTAATGTGATTGCAGCGCCGAGCAGAACATGGAGCAGAAATACAAGCCATTTGACTGGACATTTACAACAACATATCAGGGCACATTAAATGATAAGTTTCGCTCCGAATTGACAGACCAGACGCTCAACAAAATGAAGCTAATGCAGCGCGAAAATATTCTATTCTATCATGATCTCACACTCTATGAGGATGAGCTGCATGATCATGGCATTTCCGTGATGAGCGTTCGTATTGTGAGTAGCCTCAGCCTCAGCCCCAGACCCCAACCCCGGCCAGATACATTTGCATAATCGATATAACGAGTTACATCTGTCTGCCTGCTCGTCTGTTCATTTCCATGCAATTCACGTTCTCTCTATTTATTGAAGATTCTTTGATTAAGCTTCTTTTTTGTTGCAGGCAGAACCTAAGCCGAAGTCTGCTGCCTCAGATCGCTCAACAATTAAGTTCTTCTATAAACAACTTTTTATACCCTTGCATTGCCTTCTATATATGCATGCACACATATATATGTAGAGCGCAGCTAGATTCTTGAGAATCGAGGAGGAGAGCACTCAAATACCCTATATAGAATCAAAATCAGACACTTCCATAACTCGTTCGAATCTCATCAGATTTTCAGAAGGTTTGGCTTCTTGTTCATGATTTGGCCTCTAGATCGATTTGGCATCGAAATCTGGAAACAATCCACGGGCAAGGCCCAGATATACCCTGCTAATATATCATATAGCTGCTATAGGAACAATTGTCCCAGTTCTTTTGTTTCTTGGGATATATTGGTAGCTTTTTATAACGTAAGAGTTGTTCAAATTCTTGTGAAGATCAGATAGGCATATTGTATAAATGTTTGGAGGAAAAATCAATCTAAGATCTGATACTTTGTTAGTTTTGGAAGTAAGGCTTATGCTAGATTAGTTGGAATAGTTTGTTGTTAACTGTGTGGCTTACTTACGATTCACTTTATATATTTTGTTGTGTTTATTTTTAGCGCGTTATGCCCTCCGGTTTCTTTGTGCTGCTGCGTCACTTTTTGCGCATCGACGATGTGCTCATCCGGATGCACGACACGCGCTTCCATTGGGAGATCGAGAATGATTACATACTCAGGGAGTACATACATCGCGAGGCGCCCTGCTCGGAGCTACAGGTACAGCTAGACACACACACACACACACACACACGCGCACGCACACACACTTTTGCTAATGTTCTTGCTTGCAGACTTCGACTAGCTTTTGGACGAATCCCGATGAAATGCAAAATTTTCTACCCGTAAAGACCAAGGAGCTGCACAAGTTATACTTTAAATAGTTCGAGTTTTTGGGCTTCCATTTCGCTTCTTTTTTTTCATTTCACTGCGTCGTCTGTTGCTTGTGTTTTTTTTTTTGTATCACCTTTTTTGTAGTAGTATTAACCTTCCAGAAGGCATGTGGGCATCAGCCGATCCTTGTCAGCCAGTGTATTGAAAGCAAATTGATTGTTAAATGTTTAAGTTGATAAATTTTGTAGTAGCAACTGGTTTAGTGTTTAGCGTGTGTAATTTATTGCCACAAACATTAAAAGCGAGCATCCTGCGCAAAGGACACCGTAAATACTATAATTGGCTAAATAGCATCTATGATAATTTCGTATAGTTGATTTGCTTTTGGCCAGGTTTTGCTTAGGCGCCGCCCAGCAGCGCGGCCAGAGCGTGCTTGTAGTCGCCCGACGTTTCCGACTGCAAACAGAAAAACACAAAAAAAAAAAAAAAAAAAAAAAAACAAACAGGAAAAACACAGAAAGAAAAAAAGAAATGAGAACAGTTGAAATATGTGTGGACCGTACAATAAAATACGGGCATATCCGACCGGGCAAACATGCATCAAGAACCAAACAACAAAGAAAATCTACTCAAAACAACAAAATCTACCCAAAATGAAAAGCGATCATTGAACGCTTTCCAACACTATTTGTAACGTTTTCACGCACAAACAGTGTTTGCAAGCAAATTCTTTTCAATTATGAATTTGTTGCTTGAATCAAAATTTGCATAAATTAAGCATAAATCATGTTACGCAATGTGTGTCACCTAACGTATAATATTTAAGGCCTTAATTGAAATATGAAAGCAATTTGTAACTTTTAGCTACGCTCTTTAAGATTATATCTACATACATATACATATACACAAATAAATTGTATTAAGAAACTCGAGCGATTTGTGGTTTTTCTACTCCTGTTCGGAATCTGGCATGAAATGGGCCGAACCCATAGAGCATATATATATATATATATATATAGTCAATCCTGGATCTATTTCTATGCAAGCTAAACCCTCGATTAAAGCCCTTAAAACTGTTCTTTCTGTTATGGCGGAATCGGATCGGATCGGTCGGAACGGTCGAATCGGATCGGTCGAATCGGAGCAAGCCTTGCTAAATTTTCTTTGTTTTTCTTCAGCTTTTCTTTGATGTGGCTCTGGAATGTGCCCAGGTGCCCAGGTTAGCTGGAATTTTGGTTAGCAGATACCCTATTTGGACTGGGCAATACTTACGTCCTAGCACCAAAGACAACAACAACAAGAACAAGAACAATAAGTACAACAACAAGAAGAAGAAGAAGTAGATGAAGTATTAGGGGAATTACATAAAGCAAAAGTTGTAAATGGATTAAAAGGTGGTAGAAATATTTGGTTTAAGCACTTACCACAATGGCGCTGAGCAGCGTACGATTATAGATGCGCTCGAACTCCTGCTTAATTGTCTCCAGATCGATCTCCGAGCGGCTGACAATGATGCGTATAAGCGTCGCATCGTCGGTGCCGGCCCCATCCATGGCCTTGTGCAGGCGATTGGCAAAGAACGCCGCCGGCGACTGTACGCACTCCACTGCGGGCAATTGGAATTGATTGGAATTGGTGGTCAATGGTATATGGATGTGGATGCGAACATACCGATGGCCATCATGGCCTCGTGCAGCTCATCGGCCATTTCGTGCTTGATGGCCTGCTCGATGGTCTGGCCGGACAGTTCCTTGTATTCATCGAAGACCAGTCGCAGCTGGGGGAAGCTGGCATGGGCCATGATGCGATTGAAGACCTCCTCGTCGGTGCCCAATTTAGCCTCACCAGCGGCATACAATTGTGCCGCCTGATCTTTGGCCTGTGCCGCATCCACGGGCGTATCCAACGAATCTCGCACGCCGGTCACAATCAGCGTTAGCAAACGTCTAAAGAAACGGGACGTTTCGCTGCACATTTGTTCGGCCAACGGCCGTCCATATTTCTCCTCATAGTTGACGACAATCTGCTGCATCTCCTCGTTGGTTTTGGTGCAGAGAATTTCGACAAGTGTTGACTCCTCGGTGCCCAAGCCGGCCATGGCGCTGTGCAGCTGCTGGCACAGATAGTCCACGGGCGGCATCATCAGCGCCACAATCACATCCTCAAACTTGCCGCCCAGCTCATCCTTCAGATCATCAATCAAATCTCTATCGAATTCTGCAGCGTAGGCGGCGCTAATTAACTGGCGCTGGGCATTGCTACGTGAGGTGAGCACCTCGATTATTTGCTCCTCATCGGTGCCGAGGCCACGCATTGCGGCGCGCAGCTCCTGGCTATCGCTGGCCGCATCGAAGGGGCTGCGCGGCACAACGCACGGCACGGCCTGTACGCGATGAGTCAGCGCAATATGCTTTAGCCCCAAAAACTATCGATTCAATTTGCATACGAAGTACTGACCTTGTAATCCATTTCTCGTTTTGCTTTTCGTTTTTTTTTTTGTTTTTTTTTTTGGGTTAGTTGTGTTAAATACGTTAAAACTGTTTGTTTCTTTTTTTTTTTTTTTGCCAACAATTTCACACTGGCTCGTTCAGTTTTCTCGGTGCAGCTGTGTTGTTGTTCTTGCTGCTGCTGCTGCTGCAATTGCAAATGCTTCGTTCAGTTTTCTTTTACGTTGTTCTCCACCCGCCGTTCGCTACAGACTGCACACAGACAGCGTCGCTGTCGCTGCTGCTGCTGCCGCTGCTGCTGTCGACGTCGAGAGCTTTTATGATGAAGCTTTTAATTTCGCTTTAACTACGGCTTCGGCCCAAATGGCAATGCAATACGCATGCCAATTGCATGAATCATTGGATACACACAAATTATTAGCTAGATATAAATAGATAGCGCACACGCACACACACACACACACACATACTTATATATATATATATATATATTATCTTTATTTAATCTCGTTTTATTGTTGTTGTTGTCGCTTGCATGAGTTATTAATATACTACAATTCAATTACAGTTTTGTCATTCTTCTGATTCTCAACTTGTTCGCTTCATGCACGCGTTTGTAAATATCGCGTTATATATGTATATGTAATATATATATATTTGTATCATTTTGTTGTTGTTGCATATTATATAAATCATTGCGCAAATAAGTATTGTTTGCCATTTTCTTGAATTTTCTCCTTTTATACACAGCTCGTGGGGGCAAAATCAATCAGAACCGAAAGCCATGAAATCAGTTCTAAACATATTAAGAATATATGAATATATATATATATATATATCAAATAAATTACAAATACCAATGATTTTTAGGCGGAGAGCTTGAAAAGAACGTTTCGCATTTAAACCAAAATCGTTTAAAGCATATATCGCATACATATGTATACATATTTTGGTTTTTGTTTTTCTCAGTGTAACTTCATTTGATGAACTTAACTTGAATACGTTGTGGAGGAGGGGGCGGGGGCGTGGCGGGAGTAGGAATAAACCAAAAAGCTCTTTTAAGCTCTTAGCTTGGTCGCATTGCGGAATATGGGTGGAATATGGGTGGAAAGCGGTAGCCTTTGATAAAATAATAAAAAAAAAAATGATAGAAAACGAGTTGAATTACAACGCGTACAAAATTAAAGCCAAGCTCTTAACACAATCAATGGAAAATTGGAGCACATTTATATATATATATATAAATATGTATAGATATATATATATATATATATATATATAAGTATACGCCCCCCACCCACATCCTTTGGCAATGCACACCAACGATTTTTGCTTAGACGAAAACGTGCTCTGTTCTGTAATTCTGTAAACGTTGGGATTAGACCTCGTCGTTCTGATTCATCTTGAGCTCGTTGAGGGTAGCATTGAATCGGGACCATTCATCGCGCGACGGCAGCGCCAGATGCTCAGCGACATCGTAGACATAGAGCTTGCCGGACTCATCGCCGATGGTCACATGGAGGCCAGATGGTGTCCAGGAGACGCGATTCAGCGCTGGCGCACCATCGACAACGATTGATGCTGTCGGTACTTCGGTATCCTGATTGAGGTTCCATAAATCAAGGCGACCGCTACCATCGACAGCAGCAAATAGAGCGGGATGAACGGGCGACCAGGCGACATCCATGACATAGTCGGAGTTATCCTCAAACGAATACAAGGGTTTGGTGTCCTGCAAACGAATGGATGGCAATTCAATAAAAAAATCTTCGGTAGGATGCACACGGATCGCTCACCTTGAGGGACCACAGCTTAATTGTCCAATCGATCGATGAGGTTAGGAACAGATGACCAAAGTCCGGTGACGATTGATTATAATGCGTTGAGATGCCCGTTATGGGACCCAAATGCCGTTCGAATACCTCGTTCACGCCCGAACGCAGGCCGTGCCGCGATGCCGAATAGACATAGCCATCCTCGCTGCCCATGACCAGGCTGTTGATCTCATTGGCCGGAAAGGCCATGCATGTGATGGCGATCGCCTTCGATTGGCGCTGCTGCAGCTCGAGCGTATCCTGCGGCTGCGATAGCATGTCCAGCGACCAGGAGCACAGCTTGCCGTCCGACGATATCGATATGACATTATGGGCATTCTGTGTGCCCACCATTTGCAGACAATAGACGGGATGTGTGTGCGCCGCAGCGCTCAGGGGTGTACGCTGTATGGGCGTGCGTTTCTGGACACGATTATCCCAGAGCACAATCTGGCCAGAGTATGTGCCGCCGAGTATTAAATTGGGATTGAATTTGGCAAAGCATGTGGACATCACGGCGCTCTGACAGTGGAAGACATCCTCCGGTGTTTGCTTCTTGAATTTTGTATTCCAGACCATCACGACCCCGTCCGGCTCATTGGGGCTCTCGTCGTTGCTGTGATAGGAGGCGACCACCAGTTCCGGAAAATGCGTTGACCAATCCATGCTGGTGATGCAGCGATTCTTTGACCAGCGCTCATCATAGAAGACACGATTCAGCGATAGGCGGGCGTGGGAGCGCTCATCGTTCGCCTCCTCGTTGTCGCCGCATCCAATGTAATCCGTATAGATGTCCACGTTCTCGGAGAGGGCGCGCTCAATGACGCGTCCGGCACGCAATACGAATCTCTGAAAGTCCTCCGATAATATGATCATTTGCTTTTGCTCCTCCGACAGTTCCTTGACTGCAAATTGTGAACGATTTATGAATTATATCGTGTAATTCCATACGTTTGCGTGTCACGCGCCCATCGCTAAATGGAATTGCGCGTGACTCGTGAGCGAATATTATGAACAGTGTTCGTGACACGAAAATTCAATGATATTCCATAACTTTTACGTGTCACGCGTAGAGATGTGTTCGTGCATGTGCGTGAGTCGTGCTTAATACTACGAGCATTCCATGCTCGTGCGTGCTCACGTGCACATCTCTAGCTGTGAACTGAATGCTGCTCGTGAGCGTGTGGCGATCATAACTTTTTTTCTTTTTAGTTTAAAACTTCCGTGTCACGTGATAGATATGCATAAAGAGCATTTCGTGCTGAGAAGTTAGCACGTGCACATCTCTAGCTATAGATGAGCTTTGTACTCACCCTCCTTCTTCTCCTCCTGCTCCTTCTTCTGTTCGAGCGGTGTTATGGCTGGGGCCACATCCTTGACTGTCGGCAGTCCGTGGGTGAGATAGCCAGGCGGCAGCTTGGAACTAAAGCCATGATCCAGATGGGGCAGCGAGCTCTCTTCGTCGTCTCCTTGGGCATCAAATGCAAGCACTGTTTAAGGTATAAAACTAACACAGCTAAAGGAACATGACAATCGACAGAACAGGAACAATTCTACTTTTTTCTTTTTCTTTTCTTTTCTTTCTTTTCTTTTTTTCTGGTTTAGCTGCAATTTGCTTTTTAACGGGCGCTTTAACGGTTGAACGTGACGTTTTTTTTTTTTGCATGTTGTCTCTGTCATTTCTTGCAAAAATTTCGTTATTTCTTTTCTTTTCTTTTTTTTTTTGGCTTTATTACAGGGCTTCTTGTGTGTGTGTGTGTGTGTGTGTTTGTGTGCGTGTGAGAGTGTGTGGCTTGTGATAAGATGAGATTAGCAGTGTTGGAAAAGAGCGGAGTAGCGGGGCGATTAACGGAATAAGAGAACGCACAATTGGAATTCTTCATGTGCTAATTGGACTCGACACAGCTGTGTGTGGGAGTGTATGAAAGAGAACGGGAGGGAGCGATACAGATAGAGAGGTACGGTAAGGGAGAGAGCGAGACAGAGAGAGAAAGAGAGAGAGAGAGACACACATACACACGCGCGTTTGCACTTGTGTTTTATTCATAAGTCGCAGATTTGTATAAATAAAAAACACAAGAATTTTATTAGGTACATGGTGTGTGTGTGTGTGTGCGTGTGTGTGTGTGTGTCAATTTATGCACTAGATGCTGTTAGTGTGCTTTACGCTTTACACCATACAACTCAATACACAAAGCCAATTAAAAATTATTAAAAAAAAAAAAGAAAAAGAAATTAAAATATATATATATTTAAAATTAAGAAATTTACAATTTCCTATTATCTCATACGCCGTTAATATGTATGCATGTGTGTGTGTGTGTGTATATATATATATATATATATTCATATATGCATGTATGTAGTGTAGCAGCATAATAGATATAGAGAAATAGAGAGAGAGAGAGAGAAAGGGAGAGAGAGAGAGATAAGAGGCATATTTCAAGTAATATTATTATGTATTACGTAATTGGTTTAAACTCTATTAACAACACTTTCTTGCTTCACTAATTCGTGTATCAATTAACATTTGTTCAGTTATTTTTGTTTTCTATTATTATTTTTTTTTTTTTTGGTTCTCCACCCAGTTTATAAATTTTTGCGCTTAAAATTATGTATTTATGCTAGGTATATATTACATATATATATATATAATTATTCTTTTTTTTTTAGATTTATTGTTTTTGTTTTTTTTTTTTTTTTGGTTTTGGTTTTATCTTTTTAACATTTAACATAAACAGCCAACAGAGGTCGCTTTTGATATCTTGTGCCGTGGGTTAACAGTTAACACAGTTGTTAACGGTACATTAAAGAGAGCCGCCTACGACGCGCTTCGCTTGCTGTGCTTGTTGAGAGAGTGAGCGAGTCAGAGACAGAGAGAGAGAGAGAGAGAGAGCGAGAGTGACAGACAGGGGTACAGATAAGGAGAGCTTGAAGTGGATGTGTGTGTGTGTGTATGTGTGTGATTGACTGCGCCGAGCATGAGAGCCCAAGAGAGAGAGAGAGAGAGAGAGAGAGAGGGAGAGATATGGGAAAGAGAGGGACAAACTGGGACGCCAACCAAAGAGCGAGACAATCTGTAACTAGCGTAAAATTTCGGGTCTGTTATGTTAGCAATTTTGGATGAAACAAACGTTAGTCGCACGCAGTTATAATATGTATATATAGGCAATAGATCGATGAAATGATTATTGAAATTGAGGTTAGGTACACACAAAATGCACAAAATGAAAGAATTGTTGGAGTTTTTATAACAATTTTGATATGATGCTAGAGAACACATTAGGCAGGCAGGCAGGCAGGCAAAATGGCGTAGATTTTGTTGACTGTACAGCGTGTAACGGTAATTTATTGGAGACAAGGAGCCAGAGAGAGCGAGTGAGCGAGAGAGAGGTAGGTTGTGTATATGTATGTCTGTGTCTGTGTGTGTGTGTGTGTGTGTGTGTGTGTGTCTGTGTGTGTTTCTAGAGTGTGTCAGCCAGCGCGAAGTTCATGTTGATGGATTATAGGTATATATATATGTATATAACTTTATATCTTCATGTTCAGATTTGAATTGGCTTTAAATATATTTTTAATGATTATCATTATTGTACGCGTTATAGTTAGAATTTGTACGTTCCTATTTTGCTTCATGTCGATTTCCCGTCACTGTTTGCGAAAGGCCTTTTTGTTTGGGTGTACCTACCTGTGAATTCATCCTCCCACTCTAAACCCGGATTAAGATTGTATTCATCTTGAAGAAATATAAAGAAATAAATATATTGTACATGTACACAATTTTAGTTTTGATTGATTTTAGTTTGTCTTGCACTTTTTTCTCTATACTTTCGTTTTAACAAAAGAAATCAAGACCCAAAAAAAAAACAACTTGGCCTCAACGTACCAGCCGCCCCCCTTGAAATTGATCGGGTATGCAGTTTTCTTCGTGAACAAAAGGCAAACAACATAAGATGATGTACGAAACGATAAAAGCAACCGTTTATATGAATATGTTTAACGTCTTTTATATATATATATATATATATATATATAAAGAGAACATAAATCATGGCTTTTCGATAAAAAAAAAAAAAAACAAACAAGATATATATATTAAATAATTAGCACATTTGTCGAACGAAAGCGGCGACAATTATAAATTATAGTACAATGTTAAGTTTATAACTGATATACACATATATATAGATATATATGTACGGTATATTATAGAGTACATGATATTTCTCAGTGCTTTTACATGCATTCGTGTTGTATGCGTGTGTATGTGTGTGTGTGTGTGTCTGGTTTACATTTTGTTCAAGACTTAAGTTTATCAAATCGATAGATATATATATATATATATAAATATATATACTCGATACTTGCATTGGGAAAAGTTGTCTAGAGATATTATGAATATTACGATAAATAAGTTTTATGCTAAGAACAAAAAATTTGAAGAATAAACCAGGCTAAACTTGTCAATAAATGAATAAATACGACTAGTGTATAACAGTTGCAATGGAAACTGTTATACGGTTATACGCAAAAATAAAATGCGAGCTCTGGGTAATTTTGTTTCTGTTTTGGTTCTTATAAAAACGAATATTTTTTTTATATATATAAAATTAATAATTATAAAAAAAAAATAACTTAAAAAGTCAACTACTTAATGGAATAATAAAAAAAAAAACTTATAAATTGGGTGGAGTTTGTTGAAATATATACATATATATTTTTTAGAAATATATATATAAAAATAGACTATAAATGCTGATACAAACTGAATGTCAGATTATGCCGTCTAGACGCTACATTTGGTAACATAAATCTCAATTAATTGCAAATTCAATAAATTAAATATGGGAAATATTGTACCGATAGGCCGTAAAAAGCAATTTCTAGAATATATATATATACGAGTAATAGGTTTTTTTTTTCAAGCACTATAGATAGAAACTACATACGCACAAGACTAACGAATTATATGTAACGAGAGCCAAAAAGTAGCGAGTAATAAGTAACGAGAGCTAAAAGGTAGCTAGTAATAGGCAATGAGAACTAAAAGGTAGCGAGTAATAGGTAACGAGAGCTTAAAGGTAGCGAGTAACTACATACAGCGAGCGAGCAAGACAAGGAAGAGCAAGAGAGGGAAGGCATAGTCAGATAGAGTGGGAGAGAACGGAAGGCAAATATATATATATATATATATTAGAGAGAGGGGGGGAGGGGGAGAGATAGAGAGAGAGTATACGATAGTTTCTACTTGGATTCGCGGGCAGGAATATTTTAAGTAGTTAGATACAAAAAGTCAACAACTACTCACCATAATAATCCGTAGCATGAGCTGCAGCATTTTTTGCGTGCGTACCAAGAACAGATAAAAAGGGGGAAGAAAAAGTAAATAGACAAATTATTAAATGCGCTCAAACAAATGCCTAAATACAAACAAAATACGTTGTGTTCGAAAGCAGCGAATGCAACAATTAATAATCATAATAATAACATTAACAATATGAAACAAAACAATTAACTATGAAGAATGAACGTCAAAATCAATGAAACGATGAATATGTGAAAATTATAAATCAGATATATATATAGCTATAGCATAATATATTTTGAGAGAGAGAGAGAGAGAGTGAGAGAGAGCTTTAAATTGGTTACCATAATGAATTGTGTGCTGTTGTCTAAATTTGATTGCTGTCTGCTTAAAACTATATATAATACCTTTACGTGGACGCCACCAGTCCTCCATATATCCTGACAGAGGCGATGAGTGGCAAGAAAGAACTGTATTTGTTATTTTATTTCACTTATGTTAAATGCTTGCTCTATAATTTGATCAAATTTCATTTAAAAGCACAACACACAACAACTCAAATGTGGCAAATCAATATTGGGATTCTGGGAATTAGCTTTGGGCAGAGAGAAAGAGAGAGAGAGAGCATTTTGAGCGTACAGAAGACGGTTAATAAATAAGGCGATATATATACAATTTGAAAGGAGCACACAGAACAATTTGAAAAGAATAAGAGTAGAAACTATGGAAACTGTTTGAGAGTGTAGCCATACGTATGCATGATTCGGTTATGGGTTATACACTAGCTAGCATTGGGCAATATATATATTTATATATATATATTTTATATATGCAAGTAGTTCTTAGAGCGCATACGCACCATCACGCTCGTGTCCGCCGGTGCTGGTGGTCTGTGTTTGTTTCGTATAGACGAGTGTCTCCTTTGGTGGAATGTTTGTGGCCTGCACGTTGTAAACGCTCAGATTCAGTGGCTGTTTCTTGCCGGCGCTGCTGTTTGTTAAAAAAAAAAAAAACAAACCAAATTTCAGTTGGCATCGAAATATGCTATACAAATGGACATTTCCAGACTGAGCAAAGCCGCATCAAGAAGCAACGTTTGTTTAACTTTAGCTCGACGCTGGAATTGCCCAAATTGGTTGTCTATAATAATTTTGCTTTAATTTTATATACCCCTGTCCGTTGACGTTGGCCTGCAGGCTAACATCTGGCGTTTGTGTATTGGAATTATCGGATGTCAGCGAATTGGCCGAAGACAACGAGGAGAGCACCTCAGAGACGGGCGCAAAGCCCAGCGAGGACAGCATTTCATCCAAATCTCTGCAAGGGCACAACACATTATAAGCTATTAAGCTGATCAGGCATTTGTATATATTGTTGTTGACATACTTGCGCTGATCCTTGTCAATGCCGGTGCCGGTGCCAATGCGTCCGGCTGCCTCTTCCATGTCTTTAATCTCTTTTTCGCGGCGACGTCGATCCTTCTCCTCGCGCAGTGCTGCCAATTTGGCCTTCTTGCGCTCCAGTTCAGCCTTGCGATCCATTTTTGAGGTGTGGCAACGCTCGCTATTTGTTCCAACCGATGCAGTACGGGCACGTAAGGCGTGTGTGTTGCTTAGTTTGTGCTACTACAACAACAACAACAACAACTACAACTACAAGTGCAGTTCGAAAGCAGCTTTCGCTACGCTAGCTGCAGAAATAAAGAACAACAATAGAACAATGAATCACTTTGGGCCATTAATAATTGTAACCAATATTGGTCAGCGCAGCTGCTTGATGATGTCACCTTCACAACAACCAACAATAATAACTGGCCAAAATTTAACAAAAGACACACACATATGCAAATTATGTTATTTTCACTGGATAAATGCACTATTCATGCAGCCGACAAAACTTTCAGCACACAATAAAAAAAATAAAAAAAATCAATAGTCAAATGGGGCAACCACAAGATTTGATGACGGCGGCGCAGCAGCAGCAATAGCTGGTGGCAGCGCTGTCGCTGTGACGTCGTTTTCCACTTTTTGCTCGTGTGCCCAAATTTTTTGCCTCAACTCAATGAACAGTTAGGCAGCGCACAACACTCAAAACTCAATACATGTTTTAATAGCGCACCTTTTTATGTTGTTCTGGGACTAATTAAATGTGCACAGATTGCAATTAAATCATCATTTTAATCCAATTGAAAATGCGATTGCAATGTTTTGTGAACAGCGCCAGTGTGGCCGTAGGCAACAAATGAAATTTACCAAATAATCGATATACCACAAAATACTGCAAATGTTAAGTGGCTGTAAGTATACAGCGCGGCACTTGATATCGTATTTTATCGATGTAGCAACGCCAGCGGTGGCGCTTAATTTGAATGTGTAAAATTCTGGACATGCACATATATTGCAATTGTCAGCGTGGCAACACTGAACTTTAAGTCCGACTGCATTGATCTGGCAACGCCTGCAACTGCGCCAACTTTGAAAATAGTCAATTCAATAGTTTGAACTGCATGCTTTTATTTGTTGAGCGATTGAGCAAAACACGTTTAAGCACGCTGATTTCTTGGTAACATTAATTAATGCTTTACGCATTTGGCTGTCAAGTGAAATCATAAGAACCCGTCAGCATTAAAATGGGCAAGTGGAAATAGAAAGCTAACGAGAACTTGTTGAATTCATTGTCATTTTGTGCGACTCTCATGCAACGCGGCATAACGGTAAATTGTGGGCTGTGTGCAATTGGCATATTAAGCGGCCTTTTCCGTAATTACCCGTTAATTGTTTGCCTGACCTGGCAGAGAGAGAGACTTGTGGCACCCACACACACACACACACACACACACACGCACACAATGACACTGACACAGTTGGTGGTTCGTTCACTTTTGACTGCGAGCCCTGCCTTAAAAATGTTATATTAATACACAGATATTAATATGAATGCGCATATACATATGGTATGTATGTATATCAAAAGTCTTGTTTTATTTTAGTCTTCTTCTTTGAGCTGTTATTTGGGTTGGAGCATCTCGATTTTAAAAGTCGAGCGCGCAACTTGATGGCCTATAAATTGCATATGCATCGATTTCGTAATGCCAATAACATTAACTGATTGTGTGAAACGCCTCGCAGCAGCTTTTTTTTTTGTTTGTTTGTTCATACCCTGTACTCATTGAGAAATGCTTTAAATGGGGCATATTGATTTTGTGGGCACGTTTGTAACAGGCAAAAGTTGTTTTCAATTTATCGATAGCAAAAGCAATCGATTGAAATCGATAAGTGAGATGAGTAGATGAGGCAGATACATACATATATATATAGATAGATCGCAGCCAGAATATTTCAGATCTATATTTTAAAATAACAGAGTATTAAAATCGAAAAAAAATCGATTTCGGAGCAGATTTAATGCGGTGTGGGCATGCCGCTGCTGGGCTTTACAGGGTAGCTGCTAGTCGCACTAGCTCCACTTGTTTTTCTCATTTATTTTATTTTTTTTTTTTGGATTTCCGAAATAATGTTGGCAGCTCGCATCGATTGCCCGAGCTTTTTCTTTTAGCTAATTTTGGTTGCAGTCCAAATGACTTAAAAAAAAAAAAAAGAAAACAAAAAACCTTGAATTACAAAATCTTTCGTCTGGCTTCAGGCAGCGAAACTGAAGCTGATAATGGCGTTGTTCATGATAAATCAGCGCATCTGCCAGGGCTTACAACAACAACAAAAAAAAAACTTGATGCGGTGTTGCCAAACTGTGAAGCGGTTTTTATATTATTTTTTTTTTTCTCCTCACAGTTTTCGCTAATTGCGCGAGCTGTTTGCACACACACACACACACACACATGCATGCATGTATATGCGTTGTATTAGGGAAACGCTATTTAATGATATCTGCAATTCGATACGCGCATAATTTGCAAAATTAATTGCTAATATTATTAAATTGCTTGGCCAGATCGTTGCGGCTGTTGTTGTTGTTGTTGTAGTTGTTGCTGCTGTTTCTCAGAAGCTGCTCGAAGTTGCCGGACCTGCGCGCTGGCATTTATTGTGCGCCGAACGAGAGTAAAAGTTTTTTTTTTTTTTCTTCTTTAAATTAACTTTAACTAGTTGCTAACTGCTTTTTAGGTTTGTCAGCCTGTTTTTAATTTTTTTTATTTTTTTTTTTAACATACTCGTGCTGTTTTGCCGGCAGCCCAAGGACAACGGGTTTTTGTGTTTTCTCGAAGCATTGCGTGTGCGTCATATTTAGCATACTCACATTTACATATGTACATATATATGCTTATATTATGTATATTTGATATGCTGACAATTTGTATTTGGTTGACACAATTCCAGCTTGTGATTGTGATTTTCCTGGCGCATCCTGCTCCAAGGTCTGGCCACCTGGCAGCTCAAAAGTCTGGCCACGCCAGCAAAAGTCTGATGACGTTTTCAAAAGTGCATTTGCTGCAAGTGATGCCACTTGAACGTGCAGAGACCCACACACACACACACGCACACATACACACACGCCGTTGCTGTTATTTGAAAGGTTTTGTGGCTTGTCGTTAATTTAACGCTCATTTTGCGTTTATTGTTATCTTTGCGTCTGCTTTTCGTTTTACTTTTTTTTTTTTGGTTATTTTGGACTTTTTATTGCTGTAAATTGTCAAGCATTTGCATGCGCGTCGTTAACCCGGCAAAGTTTCAGTTAAATCGTTGGCGCATATGAATTTTGTTATTTGTTATTTGTTTTTGTTACTGATTTTTTCTTTGGGCTCCCGAGGCACATACAAATTGAACACTTTATGTGTGCACACACACAGACATACAGCTTACATATGTACATACATACATACATACATGTGCATGTATTTACTTGCTTTATTACAGCTTTGCCTTGCCTTTCTTCGCTGCCGCTGCCGCCGCCGTCAGCAATCCCCCAGGTTAGCTTTGGCATCTGCGCTCTGCGTCCGCCTGCGCCTGCGCCCAAGCGTCGCCAGCGTCTGGCGTCGACGGCGCTGCCAGCGCCGAGCGTTGCCGTTGCCGGTGAAAAAGTCTTGAAAAGTGCGCCTCTTTGGCGTTCCGTTGTTAGTTTAAGTTTAACCATCGCACGCTTAAGTCGCGATTTAGTTGGCCGCTAAAAGATACATCACATTTTTTTTTTCTCTTCTGCTAACCTAAAAGGATTTTGTCACACCCACTTGTGACACACATACATACATCTATTTTTTTTTTTATCAATTTAGTTTTATTAACAACAAAAAAAAAACGAAACAAAAATGAAATTATTTTTATGTGCCATTGCTGTGACGCTCTGTGTGGCAGCGACAAGTGAGTGAAATATGCATAAATTTATTAAAAAAAAAAATATATATATATATGAAATAAGAAAAAGGAGAAACAAAAATCGAAGCCGATTTGGCAACTTTGTGCTAATCACTTTGACATTGGCTGCGCATATGTATTGGTAGCTGTCTGTGTGTCCGTTTGGTGCAGGCTTCGTTGAAAAGCTCTCTCTCGCTCTCTCTCGCTGCCCACTCTCGCACACATGCTCTGTGTGCGCAGCGCAGCCTGCTTAGAATTTTAACGGTACTATTCGCATGCAGGCATGCATTTTGCTTGATTTATCGCGCTGCTGTCAAAATGGCGACTCTATATGGCATGGGTCGACCCTGTCTGACATTTAAGCTTCGCTCAAATGTCACGTTATTTGCATTTATTAAATGCCGCAACGCGATGGCAACAACAGCAACAACAACAAGATGATGGAGAAGAAGCATAAAACGGGTAATCGATAAACCGGCTGCCGCTGGGCCTGGGCGTCGTTCGGAAAAACCGGACGCCCGGACTGGAACTGGAACTGAAAACTGTTTTAACTGTAACTAACAGAAACTGGGACTGAATTGCTGGCCATGCGATTATGTAACGTCTGCGGTTGCCAGAAACAGGAAAAAAAACGAAACCCCCAAATGCGGCTTGATCGATAAATCGATCTTTGCTACGTTTTTGTTACAATTTTCCAAAAGCAGGAAACTCAACGATGCCGGTGAAAGCACAACAAGTTTATTGAACTTCTCTCTCTCTCTCTCTCTCCCTCTCTCTCTCTTTGGTTAGCAGGCGCAGCTGAGTTCGAGTGCCCCAAGCCGAATGGCCAGTTCGCGGATGAGGTGCAGTGCGACAAATATTATGTCTGCGATGAGGGCGTGCCCAAGGCAAAACTGTGCCCGGACGGCCTGGTCTTTGATCCGCTCAATCGCAAGATCAACAAATGCGATCAGCCCTTCAACGTGGACTGCGAGGATCGCACAGAGCTGCGTAAGTTTTGCCCAACCAATCCTTGAACCGGACTTTCTTGACTGACATGACCGATTTCCATTGTGGTTACTCAATTCCACAGAGGAGCCCAAGTCCACCAAGTACTGTCCACGGAAGAACGGCTTCTTTGCCCATCCGGAGGCGAGCGTTTGCAACATTTTCTACAATTGCATTGAGGGCGATGCACTGGAGATGAAGTGCACCGTCGGCCTGCATTTCGATGAGTATTCCGGCACCTGTGTCTGGCCGGACACCGCCAAGCGTGAGGGCTGCGGCGATCCAGAGAGTGAGTAGCAGCTATCCTAACGAAATCTTAGAGGCATATAATCCTAACTCATTGGCAAATTGGCTCGCTGTCTTTTTGTCTCGTTCCTGCAGAGAAATCGGAAAGCGGCTTTGCCTGCCCCAAGGATCAGCCAAAGACTGATGCGCGCGGCCAGGTGGTCACACATCCCAAATATCCGCATCCCACTGACTGCCAGAAGTTCTATGTTTGCCTGAACGGCGAGGATCCGAGGGACTTGGGCTGCCAGCTGGGCGAGGTCTACAACGATCTGACCGAGATGTGCGATGCGCCCGAGAATGTGCCCGGCTGCGAGGATTGGTACAAGGATACCGATGACAAGAAGGATTAAGCCAGCCGTTAAGCCGCGTGCCACCCGCCGATAAGAAATATATCAACAAAACAAAAAAAAAAAAACAAACAAACAAACACGCACTGCCACCCATCCTTGCGCGCGTCTACTGCAGATACCCAAAATACACCCACGCACACACACGCACACACACACTCACACGCACAGTTACACTTGGACAGACCGAAGGACTTACGGAGCTGGAGCCGGCGCTTTCGGGCACTGGCTGGACGCGCGTTGTAGTCACTTAAACATAGTAGTTTCTAGCTTATTCCTATAGCGCCTTTGAGTAGCACTTCAATTTCAAAACAT